TGCTAGAGCTACTTTTTGGCAGTTGCTGCTCTGCCTCCAGATCAGTGGAAAGCAAGCATTTGCGTTGATTTCATTGCATCACTACTCAATAGAGAGGTGGTGGCAGTGAGCCAGTTGTGGTCTGACCATGTGGGTCATCTCTTGGGCTTTCTATCATGGCTGTGACATCCCTTCTGCACCCAGGTGTGTGCTCCTGTTGTCAACCATGGAACCCCTGGTGTCTTTGCCCAGGCTGTGCCAACATATGGGCTTGTTGGTGGAGCTGTCTGGAAAAATGAAACTCCAAACTCCAACAGCTCTGTGCATCTCATTGCTTAGCTCCAAGACCAGCCACACTGACCTCTGGGGGCTGATGCTCAGCCTTGGCCTTTCAGGAGTACACTGATATATTTGTCCTTGTTTTACAAAAAGCTTCAGAAGTCAAGGGATTCAGGACTTTGGAAGTCTTAAATTTCAGTCCTGAATACAGGAAGTAGAGGTAAGACTGTAAAATTGTATCATGTTTTCTGGTTATTAAATTCACTTGCACATTAAGTGGGAATTACATAGCTGAAACACTGAGGTTCCTGAAGGCTCACAAGCTTGGGGAATAAAGAGGAGCCTGCACTCTGTTTATGTTTGTTCCATGATGTGACAAAGCTCCTACTGCACTGTGAACATGCACAGTCCCTGATGTATCAATCAAAGGCAAAGTAAACAGAAGAAATAATGACCAGAACCCACAGTGGGACCCAGTGCGTGCACCATGGCAGAGCATGGAAAGAGGAAGGAGGGTCTCACTTCAACTTGACTATCTACCAGATGCTGTGACTTGGCCAAACAAAAGACCCTGATGTAGCCTCTTTCCATGGAGGAAAAAATGTTCAATGTCCAGAGAAGTGTTCTTTGAAGGTCTGAAACTGGACAAAAGACTAGATATGGAGTGTAAGAGGGGGTACTGTGTACATCTGTGATTCAAGGATGGTAGACTAAGAACTTACATAAATATCAAGTATTATTTCTCTTACTTAAAACCTGTAGATTTTACTGCCTCCATTTCTGTTTTGAAAGCATCCCCATTAAGGACTTTTTTCCCTATATGTAAAGGGATGTAAACAGATTGCAGAAATCTGCTGTGTGTTGATTTTCCTAATGCTAATTTGCCTATTAGCATGGAAACATTGCTTGCATACTACTGAAAGCAGAAATTTGTTTTTCAAGTCAGCCTATATAGAAATGTATGAAAATAGGAGATTAGTGTCATTTTAGATAATGAACTGAAGTTTGTGGTAGTGAGTTGCTCATGTGAGATAGTAGAAACTTACACTGGAAAGAAGTACTCAGTCAGAAACAGTGCAATTTCATGCAGAATTAATTGATTGAGTTACATGGGGAGATGGGCTGTGTCCCTTTCCCACAGGGGATGTGGAGACTGAAGTTCAGAGGGAGGTAGAAGGAAGGTGGAGACTATTTTGACTATTTTTTCTGTAAATTGTGTGGTTTCTACCCAAGAAAAGTTGGCTTCAGACATTGTTCTGGATGACAGATGAATCTTGTCTGTCTTTAAAAGCTCCTATTGATTTTGTGCTGTACATGCTGATCTGACAAAATGTTCCCCAAGTAAATGCAATCTGAGCTCCTCAACAGAGGCTTCTGAGAGAAATCAAATCAAACAAAATTGGAACTTGGGCAGTCCCTGCATTCCCCTGTAATACCTCAGTCTTTATGGTATTATAATGGATCAGAAGGAGATCCTGAGCTGGAAAGTTAAACAAAGACCAACAAAAGACTTTTGAGTGCAGTACGTGCATGGCAGGTACTTGGAGGCTGCTCTCTCATCCTCACTGTCTGTATTTCTTCAGCCTTGTTTCTCTAGGGCACCTCCTATATTTTCCTTACTGCAGTACAGCAAAGGTTATCTGGATTACTGCTTGTGCCAGGCAGGATTAACAGAGTTACCCAAAAGAGTAACTTTGGTTGTCTTTTCTTCTCTGAAGGAGTGGTAATGTATTGGCAAAGGATGCCCAGGGAGGTAGATTCACCATTTTTGGAGGTGTTTGAGAACCATGGAGATGTGGTGCTGAGGGATGTGGTCAGTGGGTGTATTGAGATGGGTTGGGACTAAAGGATCCCAAGGTCATTCCCAACCTTTATGGTTCTGTGATTCTGTGTGATGTTTGAAAGCTGCTAAGGTCCCTCTAGGAGCAGGTCTAACCTACTCAGAGCATTCAGGAGTTACACTTGTTTGATTTCCATCCCTCTCTCCCCAGCCCATTTTTCTGTGACTCTCATGGTTCTCTTTGCTCCAGTGAAATCACAGTGTCATTCAGTGGGTCCTGCCCTTCTTGAATTACCCTGAACCCTGTGATCCTTTGGAAGTGGAGCCCTTACTGAGCATCCTGCGATGCTTCCAGAAAACTGCCTGTATTGGGTAGGGCAGCCATGGCACTTTCATCATCTCCAGATGACATCCCCTTCACATCTGCCTCCTCACCAAGGGATGTCAAGGCCAGTGTGGTGCAGTAGTGCCTGCAGGACCTTGTCTCAAGCAGGGGAAGAGAAGGAACCTTCTGGGTTGAATGCAATGAAACACTCATGTCGCTGCCCAAATGCTCAACAGAGCGAGTGGGGAAACTACAACCAATGTTTGTGGGTCTGGATAGCCCCCATGCAGGGTACCAAGGGGCAGCTCATATGGTTGGGGTTTGGACTGTGCCAAGGACAAGGGATCTGCTGTGCAGGTGAGTGAAGATGATATAACCTACCACTGCTGCTTGTGGCTGTGGTGTAGAGTAGAGGGGATGGTAGTAAAGCCGAACACCAGAAACTTCATTAACTAGGACACTGCACTATTACCTTTGTCCCAACAGTTTATCTAATCTGTACTCTTGGTTGAGCACTGAGGCTGTGCTGCTCTTGCCAGTTGGGCTTAAGGGTTGGCCTCCAGCCTTTGGGACGGGGCTTGAGAGCTCTTGAAGGCTCCAGGACCAATATTGTTCTACCCAAGAGGTTGTTATTGCCTCCTCCCTTTCAGAGTTCATCTCTCCCCATCACAGCTGTTCTGATATTAATGAATACTTTTGAGAGCTCAGCTTTTCTGCTAAAGGATAAGTATTCTTCTGTTAGTCCACTAGGAGAGTTATTGCAGTTCAAGAACTCTGTTCTGTTTGGGTAAAAATGACCTTGAGGAATGCATTGCTATTTATCTTCCTCAATGATGGCCTTTCTGGGTGCTCAGTGTGCCTTGTTGGGTCCCATCTGCTGATCAAGGAGTTGAAGTGTAATGGGAACACAGCCCAAGGCCACAATGGAGTGGTATTCGGAGGGGAGCTGGCGTGAACTTCTGAGAGTCGTGGAGAGGTGAAAGAAGTAAATGGAAATCTCTGAGAGGACAAGACCCAGAGGAGAGATGAAAAATGGGTTTGCAGGAAAAGCCTCAAGCTGGTCAGTTCGAAAGGGTTTTTTAAATTCAATTTCTAGAGGAGAAAGCCCTGGGTAGCAAACAGAAATGGTGTCCATCAGCAAGAATGCTCACTTCACAATAGCATATTGCCCAAGAAAATGCAATCAGCCCTCCTCCAGCTAAGTGCACCCAGGCACCCTGATATGCAGCTGCTGTAGTGCATGTACTCTGATTTTCCTGCAGATGAGGTGTGCTTCTTTCCTAGCTGTGTGGATTTGCAGCTTTGCTAAAGGGGAAATCTGTGGTTGCTGCAGTGCTGAGTAATTCCTAAATCCCTTGACGTAAGCTGCTCTGTATTCATGTGGCTACAGGAGAGCTAGTTTGTATTTTTAAGATACCAGTGTGGGTGATGCAGCCACATCCTCTTTTAAGTTGTGCAGGAAGGCAGCAATTAGTTCTGTGGATTTCAACCCAAAGTGTGACAGTGCTTTGTGCAAGTGTGGTTTTGCTGCTGTCACACCCAGGCATCCAACCTGCTCCCCGGACCATAGAATCAAACATAGCATCATGAAATATCCCAAGCTGGAAGGGACCCATAGGATCCCTGAGTCCAACTCTTGACTGATGTCCTTCCTCAGCCATGCTCATTCCTAGTTAATACTTGCTAAACTAAATGCAAGCTGGTTTTATTTGGATCACCTTGCCTTTTCTCCCCCTCTAAAGTGGGGTCAAAAGCAGTATCAACAGAAGCTGCATGATAAAATCCAGTCACCCTGGCTGCGGACAATTTTATTTAATTAGTCTGTAGGAGTGCTATTTGTCAGTATTAATCTTCCACTGTCATCGGAAGACATTTGTGTGAACTTCTGCAAGTACCTGGCCACATGTAATATGCCACACATGAATAAATGCCATTGTAAACATTGAGTCATTCAGGAAGGTAAATAAATTGGCTTCCTGAGCTCTGAAAGCCAAGGCTTTTATAGCAGGATGAAGAGAATTGCACGACATGGTTCCATACGGCTTATAAAATGTGTATGAAAGTCATTTGTCCTATTCATCCTAATTACAATGTAAAAATAGACTCACTATTTTTCTCCAAGCATTGAGTTAGTTGGAATCATTTTTTTTTTCTTTTTTAAAGGCCAATGTAATCACTTATATGATGCTTTTCTCTAGGCCCTTAACAGATCTCCAAATCAAAATGTAATTATTTATAGCAATAACATGACCTTTCACTTAACTGAGAAAGAAAACAATAGGTGACATTTGTCACAAGTGCTCAGTGCTGGTAGAAGTCATTTTAACATTTGACTATAAATTGTATTTGGGGTAAGAGGTCAACTAATGTGAAGTAAGTGTTGAGCTTACATGTATAAGGGAGTTTCTGTGAGTGTGAGTGAAGTTATGGAAGGAGAGCCATGCACTACCCCTGGCTGCAGATAGAAACCTAAGTGCTCTTTTACATGAAATATAAATAGCAAGTGCTAAGAGAGCAGACCTGGGCCAGCAGTGCCAGCTGGGGCCAAACTCTGCCTTCCCTACATATCTTGTGCTAACAGGAGCAGAAAACTGAGATGGAGGAACAGGGGTGCCGGAGCAGAAAGGAGAAGATGAATCTCAAATACCAATCTTTTTATTATTTGACATGGAGATGGTAGCACATCAAAGTGGACGCTGTTGGATTAGATACCACAAACTCAGCATGCAGAATCGGTAAGGCTGGAAAAGACCACTATGATCATCTAGTCCAACTGCTGACCATCACCACCACACCCACCAAACTGTGCTCGTAATTGTCACATCATATAGCAGTCCTGGCTCCAGGGAGCATGGAGAGCAGGGCTATGGGACCAATAAGCACTCTCCCTGCCTGGCAGCAGTGGTGATGTCCACTGGAGAGGGCTGGGAGCAGTAGATGCGTTGGTCTTTGGAGGAGTAGGTGGGACTATATGTGGCAGCACAGCAAACAACAGCCAGAGACAGAATAAATGAGTCAGTTTCCTAGCGTATTTGAATACTGTTTAAATATAAACATTGAAAATGAATATCTCTGAGAAAAAAATAAAATTGGATGCAAAAATACACCAAAAGTATGCTGCATATGCGTATAAATACATTGTATGGTCTGCAGAGTCATTATGTCTTCCTTCCAGATTGACTTTCTACAGGCTGACACAGAAGTTGAAATAAAGGAAAATTGAAGGGAAAGGTTTTCAACCAAACACATTGTTGTTTTGGTAAGGGATTCATTTCCTAGAAAAATGGGTTATAAAAACAATGCATAGTTTCAAAATAGACCCATCTGTGTTTTCACATCTAATCTTTCACAATGTGAGGGGAAAGGGCAAGTGAGGAAATGGTGATGCAGAGGGGGAACACAGGATATTTTAAAGGCTTTTGAGACCAGCTCCACCACCCATTCAAAGCCCATGCTGTTAACAGGGTCGGGAATCCTTTCCTCCAGAGGGAGGGCTTAAGCAATACCTGATGTGCTTTACCTACAAGATTTATTGCAGTGCACTGTTTCAACCTAAACCCTGTTATTGGGGTGGGGATGTGCTGGAAGGAGTAATTGTAGCGGGGAAGAAGACTGCCAGCTGCCCAGGTACTCCCACCTCACAGAGGTGAAGGAAGCACTGCCTAGACCACCACTGTGAGGGTAGTCATGGCTCCTGGGGCTGATTTGGAAACCCCAAGCCCCTGGACAACACTGTTCAAAGGGGCAGAGCACGCAGCTGGGGCCACCCCAAACCACTGGGGGTGTCACAGCATGGTGGGAGGCAGGAATCAGTCACAAGATGGTTGAGGTTGGAAGGGACCTCTGGCTTCATTTGATCCAATCTTCTGCTCAAGCAGGAACACGTACAGAAGGTGGTCCAGGACAATGTCCAGATGATTTCTGACTATCTCCAAAAGGGAGACTCCACAACAGGAGTTCCAGAATGCAAAAGCATGTCTTATCCTGACCCCAAATCTCCCATCAGTCTAATGCAGCTGTCTCTGAGTGGCTCAGAGGGCTACAGCTGGAGAGCAAGCATGCTCTCATGAGACTTTTCCAAAAATCTCTGCTTTCTGGCTTCAATTTTTCTTTTCTTCTCTTTTCTTAGCAGACAAAAAGCTTCGTAGGAGGTGTCTGCTTGGTCTGGAAAATCAGTAACATGGCTTCACAGCACCCGGTGAGGTAGACAAAGCTCAGAGCACCAGGGCAGTGACGTGATGACATCAAGGAGACCATGGAGGGAGCCGTGTCTGGTGCAAGGAGCATCCCTGGTCCTTTTGCAGGCACAGTCCTTCCATGGGCATCCCTTTCTCAGGGCCATGCATGGTGAATGGTGCTTCCCACAGGGACACTGAGCACCAGACTGGGACAGAGTATTTTCTGTAGGAAAAGGTGGAAGTGCTGTGCACTGCTGCAGGGGACAGTCCTGGCTTCAGCCACACAGGGTGCATTGGCCTAGGATACGTTAATGCTGGAGAAAAGCAGGGTGCTGGGCGGTGTGGATGCTGTGCCATCTGCCAGGTAGCCCAGGATGCTTTTGAGCTCTCCGCGTGATAAATTAGCTTTGATGTGCAGGAATGCTTCCAAGTGTCTTTTGCTGCAGAAGAGAAATGTCAGATGTCAGCTTCTCTGCACCAGCCTGTAGAGCTGGTCAATCCCCAGATGGTACCAGCATCGAGTAATCCTACACAGGACCCAGCACATCAGGGGAGGTGTGAGGAATACCCAAGGCAAACGAGAAGATCAGGCATATTTATATACTTCAAGTTATGGCCTTTCTTAATAGATTCCTTTTTTGTCCAATGGCACTGGCTGGCCACGAACTGACTGCAGCCTTCACCTGCTCTGTCCTGGACAAGTTCAGATTTTTGTAAGTTTTGGTTATGGAATATCTAGGGAAAGCACAGCTCAGGCTGTGTGCAAATCCAGCTAACTGGGCACCATTTACCCTCTTGATTTTTATCTGACAGAGGTCAGCACTGCCCAAGGTGTATGAGCCTCACCCATGCTAATATGTATGTGGCTATTTCATGGCTCAATTAAAATTCCACATGCATATTTGCAAATCTCTTTCAGCTTCCCTTACCGGATATCTGGGTATGCCGTGGCGAGTGTCGCAACTTCAATTTTAATAGCGCCTGTATCTTGAAGCCGGATTATTTCAGCCAGTTTGGGGAGTACTGAATTCAGCCAGGTGGCTTTAGACCCCTGTGGAAAAGGAAAAGGTCAGACCCTGGCACAGCCCTTCCTCTCACTTCTCCAGGCACCACCAAACCCTTTTCCTGGCCCCTGAGGTGAACCTTTGCTCTGGTTTCCAGCTGCTCGATACCCCAACGTATAAACCAAGGGTGCTTGGTCTCCTGCCCATGCTGAGTGCTGTTCAGACTTGCTCCGTCTCCTCTCAAATGTGGGTGAGGTGATAGAATTGGGGCTTGATCTGTATTTTCTTTTTTCTAGAGATACGGAAGGATGGAGGTGACCTCAGAAGACAGAGAGGGAAGTTGTGACCACGCAGAAACACAGCAGTGAAAGCCAGAGCATCCTGGGAGAAGCCCTTGGCAGAAGCCCCCTGATTGCTCTTGCTAGCCTCAAAGGCACAGGAGCAAAGGGAAATCAGGCTCCATGCAAGCTGTACTGCAACCAGAGCAGTGCCGTGCTTAGCTTAGCCTCCTGTCCTTACTGATACAAATCTGCAAAGGAAACAACTGATTACAAGACAAAAGAGGCTGAAATCATTGCTCTGTCTGGGAAGGGCAGGCTGGCACTTGCAAAGTTCTCTCTGCCCAACATCTTTCCAGAAAGTTAAGCTGTGCTGGAAAGGTCAACGAGGGGCCACAAAAACAGCATTCTCCTGTTTCTCAGCATGCTCTACACTGACGTGAAGTGAATGCTCACATACATTGCTGGTACAGAAGGCTTCCAGGTCGGCAGCATTCTTGGAGATGCTTTGGGCCAGGTTTTGCTGCTGCGCTGGGCTTTTCATGCTGACCTTCTTCTTCAGCAGCCTCACAATGTAATCTTTCACCAAACGGATGTGGATCTTCTCAATGACGGACTGTTGGGAAGGAGAGTGGGATCATCTATATCTGTTATTTGCTTGGCACTGAGGAACGTGGTTAGCGGGTGAGGTGGGAACGGGCTGACAGTTGGACTAGAAGGTCTTAGTGGTCTTTAATGATTTGATGATGTGTGTGGATGAAGGACAAAGACACCGCAAGTGCTACAAAGTCTGTCCCCCCAAGCATCCACTGCTGTTCAAACACGAGGGGCCACGCTGACTGCCAACCTCCCTGCAACCTGCAACATGACATCCTAGATACCGAGAATCTCTTTGTACTTCAATTAATGAGGTGTGGGAACTTCTAAATGTTGCTTCCTTCTGGGAAGACTTCAATGCTTAGGAAACATCTTCAAGTGTTAGGTAAGAGGTACTGGTACACCAGAGAAACAGGAACTCACCCCCCTCCTCCTGTTCCTCTCTCTAATACACAAAACTTCATAATTTTGTTTTAACTACTAAAAAGACAAAGGCAGGAAATCAAAGATTTTTTATATGGTAAGTTTCACATATACTCTCACACCACTGAGCATGTGGTTGCGCCTATTTCTCTTTGACTTACATGGTAAAAAGGGTCCTTCAGTGTCCGTAACTCTGAAATATGATTGCTGGTCGTTTTAATGATCTCATTCATAATTTCATTGCTGCATTCCCACTTATTTTCTGTAAATTTCTTATAAATTGGCTGAAAAATAAAGGAAAAACTTCTTAGTTACTATGCATGTTCAGACTCTCCCCCTACAGCACTTCTCTTGGACGCGATCAGCACTTTGCACTTCCCATGCACAGCTGTGCCTACACACTTTGCCTGGGGTTTGAAGACATCAGCTCAGGTTTTCTGGCAGAGCTGATGCTAAGAAGCGACCTGGCTAAGATCCCTTCTGAAGTGGGGTGTTTTTAGCAGGGAGTATCAGTGCTACTGGACTTTACTGGAGTTAGTACAATTTTTTAAGTTAATTTCTTTGCAATGCTCATTCTAGCCCCAAATTAACTAATGGTACTCACTGATGATGTGGTGCTGAGGGACATGGCTTAGTGGGCATGGTGGGGATGGGTTGGACTTGATGATCTCAGAGGTCTTTTCCAACCTTAATGGTTCTGTGATAATTTCTATGAATGCCACCATGTTTGAGTCATGGATTTGGGTGGCCAATAGTGCAGTGTCCTCATGTCACCACTGTTGTCCCACCTGGTGGAACTAGTCCATGGGACAGCAAGTGTGGGCTGGGTGCGTACCTTCAGCTGGGCAAAGAGCTGCTGAAGCAGGACATCCTCACTGCTGATCTCAATGTCCCTAAGGGTGCTAAGTATCCTCTCTTTGTTGTCATCCTTTTCTGCTATGTTCTTCTCTGTGTAGTCTCTGAAAGGAAATATTGCCAAGGTTAGAATAACCTGTCCCCAAAGAGAGATTCCCAAGCTTTCCTCTGTCTACTCTGGGGCATCTTCCCTTTATCTCACTATTTCCCACTGTTGGCAGTGGAAGGAACTCTTACCTAAAATTGCAGCAGTTGTTAATATTTGCAATTAGAACAGGCCTGTAGTGTCTGTGCTTCTTGCCTTTCTCCTTGAAGTCTTCAAAAGCATCCTTGTAGCTGGAGGGGAGATGGGAAGACAGGCAGATGAGTGATGGCACCAGGACACTCGGGAAGCACTGCTGCCCACTGGGGCCTTACCACACCTTCTCAGGAAGGCAGCCAATTCTGTCGACAGTCGACACGACAGCTCCTCACCCAGCACGATGTTGATGTCCCTGGCTCTCATCTGGCTGTTGTAGATACTCTAGCAAACAAAGCAAAAAAAAAAAAAAAAAAAGAATTGTAGGCAAAGAAAACCCATAGAACACCTGAGAAAGTGGGGAAGGAGTTTTTTTTCCTCTCCTTTTTTCCTTTTTCTGGTGTGAAAAGGATTGTCCCAGCACCTGTCACCCAGTAGTATGGGTTTGGACTCTCTCATGCCACCCACTTGTGCTATGGCCCTACACATGCAACTTGGCCATTTGTCTTCCTGCACTGACTACAGTTAGTCTCAGATCTTAAGAACAAACAAGATGCTGTTATTTTTAAATATATATCTGTATTACCTGGATAACAATTATCGCTAGTAGTTCACTCTGAAAATGTCCATTGAGTTTCTCTGGTTCTTTGTCTTCTTTCCATCTTTGGATTTCCTTTTCTAAGCATTTGCTCAGCACATTTTTGATGGTAGCCTTCAGAGAACAAAGAACAACAGCATTTACCACAAAGCAGATATCACTGTTGCTGCCCTCTGCTAGGGTAGTCTTCTTTGCCCACCTACCCATTGGTTCAGCAGTTTTCGTCTATCATGGCTGAGAAATAAAGGCTCTTTGTTACGAGACACCCTATCCACAGCTTCCCAGCAGCAAGGACATCCTCTCACAACATTCCCCTACCCAGTAAAGACTGAAATATTTCAGGGGGAAGAATGGGAGGCCCTGGCACTGCTGCCCGGAGAGCTGTGGATGCCCCATTCCCAGAGGTGCTCAAAGCCTGATTGGATGGGGGCAACCAGCCCATGGCAGGGGGTTGGAGCTGGATGGGCTTTAAGGTCCCTTCCAACCTAAGCTGCTCTATGATTCTATGAAGGTCACGACCCACCACCCCAGTATGTCAGCACTGGGTAGGAAGGGCACAAGCAAGTATACATGCCAAAATTTCAGTTTCCTGAGAGATGCGTTACATGTAACCCATAGCACTCAGTGCTACCTACTGAGCTCATTTTGCAATCCTTTATCATAAGCAATCCTGACGTCTTACCAACTCTGGAGTGAATCAAGATGTCCCACATTTCCCCTGCTCAGACCCTTCCTGCGTGCTCACTGTGCTGCACAGCTGCTGTGCAATAGCTGGCACCCACCTCTGCTCACTGCCCCATTTGTGCACGTCACAGCCCATCTGCAATCCATTGTGAACTGCAGCAAAACCTGTAACTTCTCATTTTCCAGGAACTCCAGCCCAAAGTGCCAAAAGCTATGGGAGGGATGTGAAAGTTGCTCTTTGCGTCCATTAAGGAGCGAGCGATCCAAAAATTGGAGCAACTGTTGTTTCCTGCAGACCATGTGATTCTCTATCAAGGAGGCAGATTTTCTCAGACTGGGCCTGTGTGCTTTGTGCTCACCCAACTTCTGCTACAGCTGCAGAAGCCCGAAATAGGGCTGGGAGGATCACCTGCACGTGAGACTGTAAGCTCCTCCTTATGATGATTTAGCAGACAACTGGAAAGTTACCAGCAAAGCCCTGCCATTGAACTTCTTCCCACCTCCCTAGCACCAGTTTTACAAGAACTGAGCAGTAATTTTTGGCCAGCTCCCAGGGCAAACCAGGAAGTAGTGGGAAGTTTACTCTTAAAGTCCCATCCAGCAGCAGCCCACCTACAAGGAGAAAAAAAAACAACAAAAAACTTTCCTGCTTCTTCTCTCTAAGAGAGTGTGTGGTTTACGGGGAGGGGTGGGAAGTGGGTACTTAGGATAAGTCAGAGCTTCTCCGAGGAGCTATGCACAGCATGTGATGAGAAGGAAATGAGCAGATTCTCACCTCTTCACTCTCAAGGTATTTCTTTTCAAGCTCTTTGCTCAGATTTAAAGGCAAAAGGCTTCCAAGCTCAAGTTTTTCCAGCTCCTCTGCTAAAACACGATCTTTTCTCATATCTCTGGAATGAAAAAGCCAAATGATCACATTTTCCAAGACCAGCATAATTCAAGACAGCTGCTGATGCAAATTGCTAACACTCCTTGAGGACACCAGTGAGAAACCAGATGTAAGTGCATCCTGTCCTTAGCATAGGCCACTGCACTGTTAGGGATAGGATCCCCTGAGCAACAGTACAAATGAGCTTGGGGATACAACCTCTCATCCATACAGCAAGCTATCTAATTAAAGATACCCAAATTACTTTGGGTAATCCCTGGGCAACATCCTCCATGCCCAGGATGCTCAGGTTTTTATATTTACTGGCTGCCTTCTGTTCCAGTAGGCCACAGGATGGAGTTTCCAGATTTTCCAAGAATGAGATGAGGGCCACAAGCAAAGCCCTATATATCTGTGTGGACATCCACTGCCTGTGCGGTCTAGTGACAATTGGTTACAGCCTAGCAGCACTGAGGATGTGCCTTCAAGTTATTCTGGCTAGCACAATGTCACTGACTCCAAAACTAACTATGGGTTGGATTGCATCAAAGCAATACCAATCCATGAATCAAACAAATGTCTGGTTTTGGCAGCCAGAGAACTTGTTGGTCACCAGTACAAAATGTGTGAAAGCATCACTTACTTTGGGTAAATGTTGTGCACCCAAGAGAGGAGAAGGTAGACATCCTTGTCATCCAGCTGAGACTCAGCAGCTTTCTTTGCCAGAGAGGCAAAATGGTGGTGATAGAGCTCTGCATACGTGCGGAACACATCAAACTCAGGGGGATAAAGGTGTTTAATGTACTGTGCCACTACCATCAAATCTTCTTTCATTGTCTTCCCCATGTGCAAGAGCTTTTGGCCAACTGCAGAGAGGTTCTCAGTTCTAGGAGTATGACTCGTGTCCTTCATTCGAGTATCTACTGACTCCTTTACTGTGGCCATCCAAAGATCTTTCCATTTTCTAGGTCTAAATTGCATGTTTTGCTCAGGCAGATTTTCTGACGTGCAGTTGTGGTCTTCTTTCTCCTGTTCTTTCAGTGCATCTACAGCCTGCTGCAGCAGTTCTGGGTTTGTTCTCACTAGAAGCACAGAGTTTTTCAAGACACTGAAGACTTTGTGTTTCAGAACATCGCAGATGGACTCGATGTCTTGCTGGGTGATGGTCAGTGCTTCCTCGCTTTTGCCAGACACGTTCTTCTCCAGGGCAATCAGATGCTGGACAGCATCACAGAGCTTCTGCTTTTCAATGAGATCCATCACTTGTTTAACTGAGGAGAAAAGAACAGCCTTTCTTTACCTAACAGCAAAAATCTTCATTCCTGTTTGGTATAAAAATGATTCAGCACGATGCTGAAGTTGTGAGCACAGTTTAAAAATCAGCCTTATCTTTTTTTAGGTATTATATCTGTGATATTAGGGTAAAAAAATGTAAATATTCAGCATCATCTTGAAGACAACTGGGTTGGAACAAAATGTGAATTAACAAATCTAACTCTCATTAAAATTTGCTAAACATAATAAAGCAAAGAGCAAGACAGCATAACTGCACAGAGAACAAGAAAAGATGCAAAGGTTTCTGAAGGTGGCATCAATGTTGGGGATTAAATAAAAAGCAGCCCCCAAATCTGAGTAAATACTTTACCCCACTGCTGTCAGTGAACCCAATAGCACACAACAGTCTAAAGGGATATGAAAGGAATAAATCTATCAAAACAACCTGATAAAATCTGAAACTGCTAGAGAATGAGTCTGAATAACATACAATTCTCCCAAAATGATGAAAGAAATCACACTTTCATTTCAAGTCCAGAGCTGTCAAAGTGAAGTGGATATTTTGCTTAAGCAGGAGGTAATCTTCAGGAAGAATGAGCTGAGGGAGAGGTCCATCCCCATTAATACAACCTCAAGCAGGAAGTGAGGCTTTAGAAAAAATATAGATGGAAAGATGTAGTTAAATAGGAAGTGCTAGAGGAAATACCATGTGGGTTTTCCAGAAATAGGCTGGATGACACATTTAGCAGGTGAGATAAATACAGTTAAGCTATCCTGTCTGAACTGCCACCAGTTGCTCGATATGGTGCAATCTGGGAAATTATGAAACTGGAAAAGTTACATCCCAAAATAAGTTCTCTTAGATACGCAAGGATTTTACTGAAAACCCTGGGTGGAGAAGGCTTATGTTATTCACGAACTCCATCTCACTTAATTTCTCCTTAGTGACTTTGCACAAAAGCTGGGAGTGCCCAATTGACATCTGCTGATTACACAAAGGCATTATCGAAACTGAGGGCTGGGTGCATGATACAGGAAAACGGGATTACTTCTATAGTCGATGGGCAGAAACTCAGTAACACGAAGAATGAAGCACAAATCTAATAGAACAAAAGTTGCTTAGCAACAAATAGGATTTTCTGCTGCAAGGAGATGTGCATCAGCCTGAAATAAAGGAGGAAGGGAGATATCTGGAGAATTAATAAATTGCTGCTGTGGGATGATGGTAAAAATACCAGACTTGACCTCAGGATGTATCTGGTGTGGGATTTCCTGTAAAACAGGAAAATGGTAACTTATTGTTTCAAGTATTAGTGGTAACTCAGCTGGAGTAATTTCTGCGGATATAATTGATTTACTTCAAAAGAAGGCATAGGAAATGGGGCAATGCAGAGGTGGGCTGAGGGTGGGCTGAGCACTTACCGCTGGGCGGCCTGGCCTTCCTCATTTTCTTAAGTGCAGTTGTAAGTATCCCCTTTATTCCCTTCTTTCCCTTCTCTGGACTCTCCCCAGCGGAGGCACAGCTCCCGTTGCTGGTGATGGAAGATGCCCGCGAGGTCCTGCAGGCTGCCTCTGGCCTTTCACTCATTTTTTCCTGGTCCTTGGACCAGATCTCGTCTCCAGAAGTACAGCTAGGGATGTGCTCAGCCACTGAGGCCAAAGGGTTTTCCAGCTGCCCATTTACATCATTGCAACCTGCTGTTCCATTGCGTATTCCAATGGGATCACTTTGGAAAAAAGGTAACATTTTCATCATTTTTCTTCCAGCCTGTAAATTTCAGAAAAAGACAAAAAACAAACAAACAAAAAAACAACACCCAAACGGTCAGGTTGTAACAGTTTGCATAAAAACTACCACAGCACAACATGATATACTACCATCAAAAGAAAAGCATTTCTGTAACAAGCCCTCCCTACACAGAACATAGAATGGCTTGGGTTGGAAGGGACCTCAGGGATCATGAAGCTCCAACCCCCTGTCACAGCACCAATCTCCATATCTAATACTATAGCAGGCTGCCCATGGCCCCATCCAATCTGGCCTTGAACACCTGCAGGGACGGGGCATCCACAACCTCTCTGGGCAGCCTGTTCCAGCACCTCACCACTCTCTTTGTGAAGAACTTCTCCCTGATATCCAACCGAAATCTTCCTTCCTTCAACTTAAAACCATTTTCCCTTGTCCTGCCCCTATCTACCCTTGTAAAGAGTTGGCCATGTGGTAGGGTGGGACAAGTGTCCTGCTGCTGTTCAAAGCAACTTACATCCCCCTGACTTTCATACAGCATATCTGGACTGATTCCAGCCTTTCCTGGGAACTGCTTTTGCCAGTCCCTGCTCATCCGACTGCCTATCAGCTTGTGAAAACACCCACAAAGCAACTTGCACGTCCTGAAACACAGAGTTGCAGCATGAGCCATGGTTTATGCAGAAAGAAATCACAGGTGGGGTGGATTTCTCACCACCTCATTAGGGACTAATGGAACCTGGGCTTAACAAAGCTGCTGGCAGCCAACAGGGTGGCTGCGTGTCAGAACAGTCCTCTCCTGGCTCAGGGGACACAGGAACATGGCAGCAGGATTGGGGTGGCTGACATTCTCCTGTCACAGTCCCACTCCACTACCAACATCCTAAATGCTCCTGCACTACAAATCATTAACAAGGCAATCTTCAAATACCCTTGCAAGTTTATGCTGCTGGTATGTATCGTGCTGATACAAACAATGATACTCATTTCTGGGCAAACCGGTTGGAAGTATGTGGCTTTTTTGTTTTAATTGCAATTCCTCCTTGGTCTCCCCACAGGTTGGAGATCTTTAAAGCACCACATCAGAGGGAGCAAACAAGCGTGCATTGCTGAAGTGCTCTTCTTCTCCCTGCTTTGCTGCTTGGTCACCTTCAGAGTCCATAAAGCTTCTAAAGCAAAGGCAGTACGAAGCTGAGAGCTCCTTTGGGAAGCAGAGGATGGAATACAGGCATGCAGCTGGCTGGCTTTCCACTGAGCGTGTGCCCAGTGACCTTGGGTGCAGCACAATGCAACCCTGAGCTGCTGCTAGAGCTAGGGGACACCAGGTCCCTGCAGCCATGCACCCATCCCTTCCCTGTGGGAGATCCTGGGGGAGAAAGGGAGAAAGAATTGCAGTGCTGCACTGGGGCTACTCCGCTCATGGTGTTCCATTAGAAAAAGGAAAAAAAAAAAAATGGAGAAAAAGGCTTTTTTTTTTTTTTTTAATTCTAGTAGGAAAAAATCTAATGGTAACAAGTAGGGACATTTCTAATTGTTGCTAGCCCACATTTCTCAACACTGTGTTGGAGTTGGACTAGATGATCTTTAAAGGTCCTTTCCAACTCAAACAACTTTATGATTCCATGATTTAAATTAATTCTGCCAAATTCCATCCTTCCCGTTTGTGCAAGCACAGAAGTCAACTGATCCTTACCATCCCAAACAAAGCATTTTTTGTTTGTTTCTAAAAAAAATAAGCCACTTCTCTCCTCCATATAGCCAAAGGTACTTTCAGGTAGCAGTCACTTCTGCCTTTCATTTCAAGGAACAACAATGGAAAAAAAAAAAAAAAAAAAGGATTTCAGAATAGTTTTGCTGCTTCTTCAACAGGAAGAGGAATAAATATAATTTATCTTGAGAAATTCTGAAATAAGAATGTGCATGAAAGAGTCTGGGTGTGTTTTTTTCAGCTTGAACTAATAAAAACCAAGGTAGCTACGTATCTGAGGAAGGCAATAGCTCTTACACTTGACCAGATCAAGCACTCACCCAGACTTTATCAGTCTGGCACTTCTGCTTTGCATTTCTTTGTGCCTCTCCAGCAGTAGTGCAATAAGATGAGAGGGAGTGACCTCAAGTTGCACCAGGGGAAGTTCAGGTTGAATAGTAGGAAATATTTCTTCTTAGAAAGAGTGGCAAGGCACTGGCACAGGCTGCCCAAGGGGGTGCTATAGTCACTGTCCCTGGAGGTGTTCAAGAAGTGGAGAGATGTGGCACTGAGGGACGTGGGTAGTAGTGATGGTAGATGGACAGTTGGACTGGATAATCTTAGAGATCTTTTCCAACCTTAATGATTCTGTGATTCTGCAATCCACTCTTGGCTGCCATGGCAGAGCAGACACACTGCAGGCTCAGCCAAGGGCTATCTGTGCATACTCCTCTCTGCTCACAGTCCTCGTTGGAACTGCAGCCAGCTCCTAATCACTTCAGTAGTCATTTCCCAAAGCGGGAAAAGAATTCATCATTGAGTTTTGGGAAATTTAATGGTTTAAGATCATGTCTCTACATTGATCACAAGTTATCATTATTGTTAATTTTCTATTTACTTTTACTATAATCGTCATCCTCATTATTGTTATGTGGCATGAGTCTCCAGCACAATACATTCAGTGTTATGGTTTCTAACCAGAAGAGCTGCACAACCCACACAGCATCCTCTGCTATCCCACACTGAGGGCTCGTGCCAGTGGGATGATGATGGTGCTGACTGCCAACGTGGCTGGACTGAGACCAGATGGGTGCTGAGCCACCATCTCTATAGAATCATAGAATTGCTTGGGTTGGAAGGGCCCCTTAAAGGTCATCTAGTCCAACTCCCCTGCAATGAATGGGGACATCTACTGCTTCATCAGGTGCTCAGAGCCTTTACAGAAGATCTGTTTTTAGGATGAACTCATTGATGAGGGGTGGCAAAGATATACTAATTACTCTGTTCTGAATTTTTTGTTTGACTGCTTTTTCCTGAGCTGCTGCCAGTGTAACTGGCATTTGTTTGGACTTGCTGCCCTTTCCAGCCTCCTGATCTCATTCTTATCTAGTTTTACTGGAAAACCCCCCTCTCCCACAGAAGTTATTCAGCAAAGTTTGTTCCCTGTATTTCCATCAGCCATTCCTTCTGTCCTTCTCCCTGTGGAAGTGGAAGAGAGGACAGCCTCCATGAGAACACTGCAGTGGATCAGACCATTACTCAGACCATGCAGCAACACCTAGAAAAGCTGCCAAGAAACCAAAGCAAAGAGCCTACTGAGTCACCATTTCCAATCTTCGCAAGTTGAGAAGCCATCCTAAGAAGTATTTTTCTTTTTCCTACCAATTTTTGTTGTCTGAATTGGTACTGAAGCTGGGAGCTGGCACTTGCTTCTGCCTGGGAGATGCAATCCATTGATGAACCAGGACACAGTACCACCAGGGTATGGTGATGAGGGACCCAAGGAAGCAGGAGAATGGCCCAGGCATCTCATCTGGCATGAGGTGCTTTAAATTCCCTCCAAATTATCTCCTGTCCAGGGAACAACACACAGAGAGCCAGACAATGCCTTTGTCATTCTTAAATGAGGGTTTGGGTTCCCTTGAGTACTGTAGCACAATTGGAAACAGTCCTGCAACCCAGTGTTGGGACTGAAAAAATTTCAAGCAGCAAAAGAGAAGATAAAATTTACACATATATGTTGGCACTGGGGAAATAGAAAAGGGAAAATGCAGTGTAATCAGTTCGTTTCACTTCTTGCTTTGGAGCTGCTGCTGAAAGGCAAACCAGATGCTGCTCTCCAGGATTTTGTTTTTCTATTCCTATTCCTGAAGACAAATCCTGCTCTCAGGCTTAGAGCTTGCCAGGTTTGCTGGTAGGGATAAACAGACCAATAAGATACATAAATTCCAGTGGCCATTCCAGAGCTCTTGGAGCAACCTCTCTTGTTTTCAGACCCTTTGGCTTTCCAGGCTTCTTTTTATGGAAAGGGCACTGAAGCTTCAGCAAACTCAAACAATTTCTCCAAAGCTCTCTGTTCCCATTTCATCATCTCCATCAGAAGCAGCAAGCCCCAAAGTCCCATAGTGGGAGCAGGCAGTTGGATATTTTGAACAACAACTGTTTCTTCATATTTTCAGCTCTGAATGTGGGTGTGATGGCAAGGAACCATGGCTTCTACATCAGATCCAGCCACAGAAAGCCACATCCTTAAATTGTAGCAGCCTCAGGAAGAGGTCCTACACGTGAGGATCCTAACCCTGAACCAGCCTTCACCTGGGGCTGAGAAGCTGATGCAATGTATGTGGGGTGGTTCCCCAGGGAATTTCAGGCAGGTTCCTCACGGCACTGGAGAAAGGTGGGTGCTAAGTGCAGTAACACTTTTCTGGCTCACCCTTCATAGAACCATTGAATGGCTTGTGTTGGATAGGATGTTAAAGACCATCCACTCCCAAGCCCCTGGCATGGGTAGGACACCACCCACCAGCTCAGGTTGCCCAGGGTCCCATCCAACCTGTCCTTGAGCACCTCTAGGGATGGGGAACACATAGGTTTTCTGGGCAGCAGTGCCAAGGCATCACCTTCTAAGTGGAGAATTTCCTCCAGAAATCTAACCTAAATCTCCTGTGTTTTACTTTGAAATCATTCTCCCTTGTCCTGTCAGTATATGCCCACATAAATAGTTGATCTCTCCCCTGTTTATAAGCTCTCTTTAAGTACTGAAAGGTCACAGTGATGTCTCCTGCACAGTTACAAAGCTGTGAGCACAGCAGTGCAGAAGTTTGTCAGCTCAACACCACAACCCTGTGCATGACAGCTGCCTGGGACAACACACTGTCCAGACACTGAAACTGGGCATTTCAGCACAGTTGTTTTGACTGAATCACAAACCCCTTATATTCCTGGAATCTGGGAAGAAACCACTTCCTTTTGAAAGAAAATGCAGGAGGAGGTGGGAAGTGCCACACTGAATCTGGATCCTGGTGCACAGCAGAGTTTGAGGATGCTTTGGTGCCCAAGATCTATGTCTGGGTGACTGTGTTAACAAGAGCCACTGCTTACTGCCTGTACGTATGCTCTGACATCTATGCAATGAGGAACAGCAATCAGACACAACTGTCACGATGCTGCTGCCAGACATGCAGCTCTGTGGTCCCCTGGGATGCGTCTGGAGCCATCGCCCTTCTGGCTTCTGCTGGAACAGCTGTCTGCTCTATTCGCCATTCTGCCCATAACAAAGTAAGGCCACTTGGCCGGGGAGCCCCCCCAAGCACTTTCCACCTAACTCCTCTGTCCCCAGCGCAACCAAGAGCTGGGCTTTGGTGCCCGCTAGCCCGGCAATCAGAGAGGCAGGAGAGGTGCAGGTCCCGCGGGGGAGGGGGTGAGGGAGAGGAAGAGCCCCGAGCTGCGGCGAAAGGACGGACAGACAGTCGGACAGACGGACTTACCGTGCAGCAGCTCCCGGCAGCGGCACTGGCTGCGGGGCACCAGAGCAGCCCGACTATAAGGGGAGGGCAGGGAGGCGGAGACCCGACCTTCCAGAGTCCGCTGCTTGAAAACTCCGCCCGCGAGGGTTCAGCCTAAAGGGAAACGAGAAATCCCCCTGGATGGGGAGGAAGTTCCAGTAGGAGGACCTAGCTACTTCGGGAAAGTGTTGGTAGCATGTGCCCCAGCATCCTGATGGAGTAGTGAATGGGGCACGGGGGTTGTGTCTATGATAACTGCATGGCAATACCCTTAAGCTGTGCCAGGGAGGTTCAGGTGGAATACTTCCACCTCTCTGCACATAATCTTTTATCTGAAAGAGTGGTGAGGCATTGGTACAGGCTGTCCAGGGAGGTGGTGGAGTCACTGTCCCTAGAGGTGTTCAAAAACCGTGGAGATGTGGCACTGAGGGATGTGGTCAGTGGGCATGGTGGTGACAGGCTGGGGGTTGGACTGGGTGATCTTAGTGGTCTTTTTCAGCATTAATGATCCTTTGATTCTAAGAGAGAGCTGGGATAAAGCAGCTGCTCTGCGGGTGGAAAATCAAAATGCGGTGGGCTTGCAATGCCTGACCTCACTGCTGGATTACTGAAGAAATTTCTCTCTCCTCCTGAGAAGCAGGCAGCAGGACCAGCACCTGGTTGTTGTACCTGAGATGATTTCTGCTTTCTATCTGATAGCTGTGGTCTAATCAAAATGCCAAAAATGAAACAAATGAAACTTAAAGCTTAGTGCAAACCAAGAGCTTGTATAGTGCTGCTAGTGTTCTCGCCTTGGTGTGCCTGGCTGCTGCCATGCACACTGAGCACTACGTGGTGGTCTGGCTATGGTGGGCAATGGAAGCCCAGCATGGGGTTCCCCCGATGGCAGATGTAGTCTGGGGTTGAACTTTGTGCTGGAAGGAAGCTCTGGGCTGAGTGGGCAATGGTGTTGGAGAGCAGCTCCTTCTCCTGGTCGGTGCCACTTAGGTATCTTGCTCCCTGGGGCTGCTGCTTTCATCTCTGGGAGTGTCTGCACAAAAGGACCATAGGAAAATGGAAAAATAAAATCCACCTCCAGTGTCTGCCAAAGAGGAAGTAGAAGGGCTGTCCCAGTTGACAAACCCATGATCTCCTGTCACTGGGAAACACTGATTCATCTCAGGTCAGACTGAGGGCTGCACTTGGCAGAGGGTTCCCCTCTGGGACTCCCTCAGGCTGGGTCCCCTGCTTGGCAGTGTCACTGCCATGGGTCCAAAATGCAGGGTGCCATGTTAGCCTAAAAATCATTGGGAAGATGAAATGGTGCAAGATTTGCTGTCTGCAGGCAGAGGGTGCTCTTCTGAATGTCATCCTTCAGCTGCCACGTGAAACAGATCCATCTCTGCACATAATCTCCTGCTGATCCACAGAATCGTTGCACTGCTTGTCTGTCTCATTTCCCAGACAGGCATCTTGTGGTGATTTACGTGATATTTAGAGGCTAACCAAGCTACACATATTCTAGCTCTGCATGGAAATTTTTTCCATGTTCTATAACTACTCAGACTGCAATGCATAGGGCTACACTGATGTTCACAGAATCATAGAATGGCCTGGGTTGAAAAGGACCACAATGATCATCTAGTTTCAATGCCCCTGCTATGTGCAGGGTCACCAACCACCAGACCAGGCTGCCCAGAGCCACATCCAGCCTGGCCTTGAAATTCTTGATAACCCTTGATATTCTGGGTTTACAGTGTATGCTGTCCAAGAAATTATCTTTGTTCTTTTCCTAATATGAATTATATATTGCTCAGCTGCACCTTTCTTTTAAAAAGAAGAGATTTGTAACTTAGTTTTGAAGATGCTTCCACACATTTGAACAGTGAACTCACATGGGACTATTCGCCTTTTCTGTGTCCAGCATTGAAGCCCTTTTCACTAGCAGTTTTAAAACCCAAATTTAGATAGGCAAGAGCCTACAAAAGGGATGTATCTCTGCCAAGAAATAATAATAATAAAAATTGTTAACTCCTTGCCCTAGAGATTGAATGATTAGTTTTGTCCATGAAAAAAGAAAAAAAATCAAACAAAAAGTGTTGATAAGGACATTCTTTTGAAGGGAAGTTTGAATTTCCTCTTTCAGCATGCTGGGGAAGCTGCTACCGTTCTCCACCAGCTGGAGGTGTGTCGAGACACAGATCACTGTGATGGTAAAGGTTTCCTTCCTAGAACCTAGTAATTCAACTTGATTATTCATTGAATATAATTTAAGATTTTGTTTGAGCTTGGTTTAATTACCTTTATTAGCAGTAAGGGAAACTATTAATTGCCCTGTGGGATTTTCCACCAGCTAAACTAATTCATCCTAAGTAAACCCAGCTGTGCATATGTCAGTATTAGGGCATTAACAGGTCTGAGTGCAGGTGGCTGGCAGTAACTCTGAAGGAGAGCAGGTATCATCTTGTCACCCTGCACTGGGAATGTTGGGATTTGCTATGGGGCTGGTGGGGGCACCCAGCAAGATTGGCTTCGATAGAGCTAACTCAGGTGACACTGTGGAGAGCCAGAAATGCCTTTGCTATTCTGCTCAGTCTGGGCTATTTTGATAGAAGAAAGGCATGTGCAGACAGAGGTAAGAGAGGTTTGGGTGCTTATTTAACTGTGGAGTGGAAGTTGGAGAGGTCACAGTGGTAGTATCTATTTAACTCTGTCCAGGGGTTCATACAGCTTAGGGTAAGCACAAGAGCTGAGGGTTCTGAAGACTTGATCAGGTCTGGAGTCCAGCTCTGAGTGAAGGGATGTGGAGGCTCAGCAAACTCTGAAGAAGCTTGCTGGCTCAAGAGGCATGGCCTGTGCTCAACAGCTGAGGCAGAGCAGCTGATAACTGATGGGAGAAGTGGCTCCAGCCCTCAAGACTGCTGTGCATTTTAACTCAAACCACCTGGATCATAAAAAGATTGCTTGGATTATGAGCTGAGTGACTGGAGTGCCTTTCTTTCCAGCATTTGTGGCTGCAAGTAATGGAAGCAAGAATTCTTTTTCTACATCAGCAACCAAACCCAGATCTGTAGTAATATGTCCAATTATTGAATGCAGAGCACAGCAATAGGGAGGTTTTGAGGGCAGGAACAGAAGTGGTGGGGGACAGAGAGGTTTGGGTGCCAGTTCTGCATGCAGGTTGTGTCACGCAGTGCTAACCGCTAAGGGAAAAGTTCCTGCTGTACTCAATGACTGTTTCCTATAAGCAAACAAAAGAGATGGTGGATCCAGGACTTCCTTTCTCAGACAAATTCCCCAAAATCACTAGGATGAAGTTATACTTCCTCTTGGGTTTCCTCTGTGTTGTACTGAACTGCAACTTGGCTGCAGCTATATGGATAACTTAAAGGTGATCTATGGCCCATCTTCAGTGAGCGAGTGGAGATGCCTCCTGGGGAGGACAGTCCTGCTGGAACACCTGAATCCTTGTGGGTTGAAAAGACTAAGAAATGCTCTAACAAGGGCAGCTATAGGAATAGAGTTTGAATCACAAGAAGAATAGGGTTTGAATCACAAGAAGTTCCTCTTGCTGTTTAGAGAAAAATCTAGGTTTTGTATCATCTGTAAGATGGCAAGATGTAAACCCATCGTTCCTATTTTTTCATTAACTACTTCCCTGGCCCAACTTTTTTTTTCATTTGTGTCCTGCAATCATTGCAGCTGCAGATTAGTGTTAACAGATATGGTTTTAAGCATGGCACCCCTGGATTCCATGCACCAATGGATGGACTCCTGCTATCTTTTGAAGCCTTCTTGTGGCCTTCACTGAAGAACTCCCTGGGCATAACCTGGGCAGGTTATTATTTTTTGCTTAGCTTGAGGTTAAAGGGGACCATCAGGTTGGCTAATTACAGAGATAATGCCTTACAAGCAAAAGCCTGTGCTTGTGCTAGGTAGATCAATCAGCTGAATGTAGACATGAGAGCCAGGCAGGGTGGCTTCCACCAATACGTGCAGCAGCAACTACTGCTGCAGGGTACCTTCACCCCTAAATGGAGAGTACCAGATGCTTTCACCCAGGTCTGTTTGAGGCTGGCTGGTGCTTGAGGTTTGACCTGTGGCAGAGTTATGCTTTGTCAGCTGTGGAAGCATGAGCCCTTTTTGAGAACTTGACTACCAGTGGCACGAGCTTCAAAAGGTTCTGCTGTCTTCAGCTACATCTGAATTGAACCAACCATACAGAGCTTTCCTGATTTTTTGATTTCTACTGTTATCAAAGATCCTACATGTCAGAGTAATGAACCAGGAATTCAAATCTGGCTGGAATGCCCTAAATCTTTGCTGAAGGAGGGGCTCGTATGCAAGCGTGGGTCTGTATCCCCACTCTATTTCTGCTCAAGGAGTGGTCCATAGCTGAGGTTGATGACACCTTTGCTATGATATTTCTGGTGGGGGAGACATCCATAGCTGAGGCTAGCCTGGTATCTGTGGGAGGGCGGTGTGCATTTATGAGGCTGCCTTGCCACCCTCCCACAACACGGGCTGGAGGAGGGTTCCATAGTTGCCGTTTCTGGGCCCAGCTGTCTCTGACGTGCTCATAGCCCAGAGGAGATGTGCTGGAAGCATGGTCTGCTTGCTGTGACATCCCTGCCAGCTGGATATTCCTTGTCTGCTATCTCTGTTCATTTGGCAGAGCAGCTCCATAGCCTGGGACAAATTGCCCAAGCCCATGTGAAATGGCACCTTCTCTTTGCAGCTCCTTGAAGACAGGTTGGCATCCTTAATGCATGGCATGGTGAATTAGTGAGGAGCAGCAGACAATAAGGAAGGGTGTACTTTCTTCACTCTTGTGGTCTTTCTGAAGGCAGCTAAAAGTGCCTTTCCCCAGTGTGGCAGCACAGTTACCTCTGCATGGGTGGGAGTATGTGCTTCCTGCTGCCTGGCACCAGTCAGTGGATGAGTGAGCATGCTGTGGGATCATGTAGGTAGATTCAGGCATGGGATGGGTCTCAGCCAACTGCTTACAACATCTCTGCAGCAGCTCTGGGGTGGGAAGCCCAGGGCCACAATTGCTGGTGCTACAGATGGGGTGAGAGACGCTGCTGCTGAGAAGCTTCGATCCTCTGAGAGATCAGTGCCATGTTTTTTATTGCCCCATTTGTAATGTATCCCAATACTTTCTACTCTATAGTTCATTATTTTTTTTCCAGCATGCTCCTTTACATGACATCTCTTATGACACCTTCTATATGCCTGTGGTGGGAGTGGGATGAACACAACGATCAGGTCTATGTAGACATGGACAAGTGTGTGCTTGCAAGGTGCATGCTGTTTTCTCACCAGCAGCACCAGAAACTCCTCAGCAGCAGTAAGAGCTTCAGCTGTGCCAGCAGAGCTGCTTGAGTACCCACTGCCCATGACTGTGGGAGAAATGTTCTGGTATGTGTTGAGAAGCCAAGCTGGGGTATGGCTGTGCTCACTGTTGCTCAGCCTCTCACTCCCCTGCAAAGGATATGGGCTGTGCTTAATTTTAGATCAGGGAATGAAACACTGATCCCAAAGGTCATTGTGTGGCACTGGATCCTGCCTGGCCTTCGTTATGTTGTCAGTGCTGTGCTGGGACTTGGTGGGGCAGATCAGGGTGCTTTATTACTACAGAGTGTCCCACAAGGAACCTATAAGGATCACTGAGCCCAACCCCTGTCTCCACATAGGACCACCCAAATCCTATATCTGAGAGCATTGTCCCAACGCTCCTTGAACTCCAGCAGCTTGGGGCCATGACCACTGCCCTGCGCAGGCTGTTCCATGCTCACAGCTCTCCAATGCAGAGCCTGTCCCTAACCCTCAGCTGCCCCTCCCCTGACACAGCTCCATGCCATTCTCTCAGGCCCTGTTGCTGTCAGAGCAGAGCTCAGCACCTCCACTCCCTGTGAGGAGCTGCAGCCACCATGAGGCCTCCCCTCAGCTCCTCTGCTCTGGGCTGAGCAAACCAGGGACCTCAGCTGCTCCTCATGTCTTCCCCTCCAGACCCTCTAGGGCCTCTTTTTGCAGAAAGTTCCCATCACCGCAAAGGGGAATTATGTGGGGAAAGTAAGTGGGGAAACTGCAGAAGCAGTACCTCTTTTTGAGGGGTACAGAAGAACCAAGGAGTTCTTCTGTTCTGAGTTCCTGTTGCATCCCTGGGGCTCGCTTATTTCTCCTCTCAGTTGCTCTCCTGCTGGGATCTCCTCACATGTCCAAGCCAATTCAGGCTTGGCAAGGGCCACAGATGGAAGTTTCCAGGGGAAATCCAAGTATTTGTGATCAGCCTGTATTTCAATGCCTCTGAGTCAGTAAGAATTCATCCTGCACTGTGTAAACCAACAGTTTTTGCTATCGTATTTACTGGCAGAAAGGCTCTTTATTTCTTCATAAATACAGGCATATTCCTGAGTGAGATCTGAGCATCTCCTGTGGACTGAAATTCCCACTGATCTTTCAAAAAATATTCCTGTTTCCTCAGCAAACATCTGAAAAGCCATGCTAGCTCTTCAGGACGCTAATGTTTGTCTTTGCTCCTGTCTGTCTGGCAGAGCCCATGCTGTAGGAAGGGCAGGGTGCTATGAGCATATTTGCTCTTGTGGGAGTTGTCCCAGTGGTGCAGACATGGAACCTTCCTCACTGCCTTGGCATCGTCTGCAGTGATCGTAGCACTTGTAATACTCCTTAGTGCAGCAAAGCATGAAGGTTTAGTGATGGTAAACAGGAAAATAATATTCCAGTGCCCATGCAAATGTTTTGGGTGCAGTATTGAAGTGTAACGTGTGTGTGTGTGCACTTCTCACTCCTTCAGACTTCTGTCTGCCTATGCTAGGAAGAAGCAGCTTCAATTATGAGAGGCCGAAAGGGCTGTTATATATAGTATTAAATACACTTTTTATTATTAGTATGGTGTTGGTTTTTTTTCTATGGGAAAGCACATTCCTCAGAGGATTCTGCTCAGTCCATCCTATGCAAGCATTTCCCCAGGAACAAAGCTGTAAGAGCAACAAGTCCATTCCTTTTTCATGTTGTGGTTAAGACAATGGAAGCTGAAGCCATATTCTGCAGCCCAAGGTTAGCTGATTCTAGAGGAACAGCAGTTGTTTGCTCCCAGAGTTACTGTGAAAAACTCTGAGAGGTTTAATGATATTTCTGTGAGTGTTGCTGCCTGTCTGTAGGCACTTTTGTTAAACTGATATTTTTTTCCTGCTCTGGAAGTATAATAGAGCAGAATTAGGAACTCATTCAAGTATTCTGGCTCTACTGTGAGCAAAACAAGTCTTTTTTTTTCATTAATCTGCTCAGGACATACAGACTCTTAAGCTGTTTCTGTATGTAATCACTTCTAAAAGGTATTTAGATGGAAATAGAAACACTCAAACAAAAGACCAGGGCCAGGAGCTGAAGGTATGGTGTGTTCATGTTCAAAGGGGAAGGTAGGCAGTGGCATCCTCCTCCTGAAAAATGGGGGGGGGGGACTGTGTGGTGTGGGCTCCTGAATGGTGAATCTTGACATGGTGTTGAATCAGTGAGCAAAAGTAATTTGGTTAAAATAAAGGAATTTTTTCTCCGGATAAAATAGGCCAGAAGGGATGATTTTTTCAGGTAATGCCACAAAGCTTTGTATTTAGTTGTAGGACCCAGGAGTGGTATTGGAGTAGGAGGGGAAGTAAGACCAGAACAGTAGGTTGTTCTTTATTCCCATGCATCCCACTGAAGACACATCTTCCCAAGGATAGTCTTTGTTTTGGACAGTGACTGACAGCTGCTTAGCAAGAGAGAGCACTGCATGGCTTCAGCCTTGAGGTCACCTATGGCAGGAGGCACTGAGGGCTTTGGAGGGCTCTTGGCCCATTGGCTTGAAGGTTCCCCACCTGAAAGCGTGTGTAAGGCACTGATGCCTTTTAACTTGGGAAGATGATGGTCCACGTGTGCAAGTGATGTACTTTTGGAGACATAAACCACTGGTTTTTTTTGGCCTTGCTTCTCTCCTAATGATGATTAATTCCATTATTGCCTCTTATCTACTCAGTCAGATGCTATTCATGGCACAGCTCCTTCAGGAAGTGTTTTCCCAGGTTTTGGAAAAAGTGTTGTGCAAGTTGCGTGCTTTCTTACTCCAGAACTGGTTCCCAGCATTTTGTACCTTGCTCACAATGCCAGACCATTATCACTACTTTGATTTCCTTAACTTTAGCTGCGGGACTACCCATAATGAACATCATCAGAAAGCAGCTGTTGAATACGTACATGTAAGAGAAACTCCCCCAGTTTATTATTTGTTGTAGGTGGGCATCTGAAAGTAAAGCAGTGCCAGGGCTGCTTACAGCCCCATGATCTCTTGCACCAGTGCAGCACTGGGGAGCCATGGGATGGGTATCACCATGAGTGAGCAGCATGTATCAGCTAAGTGCTCTCCCCTCTATGCCCACAGGGCGATGCAGAACTAAAAGGTACTGGGCACATGTGTCCCTTGCAATAGGATGAGAGATAATGGCCTTGAGTCCAGGGGGGGGGAGGTCCAGATTGGATATTAGGCAATATTTATTCTCAGAGAGAGTGGTGAGGCATTGGAACAGGCTGCCCAGGGGGGTGAAAGAGTCACTGTCCCTAGAGGTGTTCAAGAAATGTGGAGATGTAGCACTGAAGGATGTGGTCAGTGGGTATGGTGGGGATGGGTTAATAGTTGGACTGGGTGATCTTAGAGCTCTTTTCCAATCTTCATGATTCTATGAATGGCTTTACATGAGTTTACAGTTACAAACATCCAGTCCTACACTGGAAGCTCATCAGGGGGTAATTGCTCTGACTTGCAAAGGTTAATGTGAGGAGTCAAAATTCACTTTTGTTCAGTGAACTCAGGCAAATAGTCACATTTTTTTGTGGTCATAGAACTATAGGCAGTTCTTCACAACTTTCACCATTCTTCCTTAAAACTTAATCCAGTTTTGCCACATGTTACATCAGCATTAACGTTTTCCTAATACAGTCTTATAATTACTAAAGTAAATATTTTAGATATGCTGTGGGTTGTTTTTTTTTTTCCATGTCATATTTAGCAGCATTACATAACACTGTTTCAAAGTGATGAAAGCTCAGAGCAGTGTCAAGCAGAGCACAGCTATACCTGCCCATGCTTGCTGTGTGAGCACACCAGCACGCAGGGAACCCATGTGACCAGCTCTGTGGCTGTGAATCCCACTGTGACAAGATTTCCTGGAGAAATTTGCAAAATACACAAGATAAATGTTTACTGAGAACTGTGGAGAACTGTGCTACGATTTTTAATGTTAAACCACAAACAAATACAGCTTTACTTTTTACCCACCCCTGAGATAATAATGTTTTCTTCCCGTTCACGTTTGCTGGGTGGTGTTAGGTCATATTTCCCAGCACACAGTATGGATGTGATTCTGGAATCCTCCTCTCAGTCCATATCCTTATTACATTAACCCAACGGAGAGCTCTGCTGAAAAGCACCACTCTGTAGGGAGCTCAGTACTGGAATGCTGCTGCACTAAATGGTGTCTGGAATGTGGCAGGGAATTTGTTCAGACCTCCAGCTTGGAGCCTCCTGTGCTTTTGCTGTGTTGTCTTGGTTTATCCCCTCCTTACTTGCTTGGAGCTGCCTTTTCCCAGCCTACCTGAGTCTGGTTGAGTGTGGGGCCTTGTCCATGGATGAGGACAACTTGAGCACCCCAAAGCCTGTCTTGGATGACAAGCCGCAGCCCATGGGTCACTCTGGCTGCCAGTTCTGGTGTCTGGAACACAGAAGACTAAAAGCATTACTTTCAGTCAAACCAGAAGCAAACAGAATTGCAAAACAGCAAAGAGCTCCAAAACAAAAATATCTGTCGCCGCCCACGCGGCACTATGAAATATGCTAGATCTCCCCCCAAAGCTAAACTTGGCCAGAGCTTGTCTATTCTGTCTACTTTGATACTTCTAAGGAAGCCTTATGCACCTTGAGCATAGCCAGGGTGGGAGTGAACTGCATCTGCCATGGCTGAGAATGCAGCTTTGGGGTAGGAAGAAGGCTCGTGGTGAAAAGCACAGGCTGCAGCAGGCAGAGGAAGTTAACAGGGTTGAACTGAGCTCTTGGCACTTTCTATGAGAGCAACGTGTTTCACAATAAAAGCCCTAGGAGACTTTTCTTCTGTTTTATTGGAATGCAAAATATGGTCCTAATGAAAAGGGGATGGCTCACAGAACAGGGCTGAATAGCAGCAGCTTAATTCAGAAAGCATAGCATCCTTCTGCCCAGACCCTCCCTTGAGTTAGCAAGTCTGCCTTAGAATTTTTTCATGTGCTGATTGCAGATAAAGGGAACACTGAATCTCCTATCATCAGAGCACCCCCTTGGTTTATCACCAGCTACTCCCATAGGCTGAATTATACAGGTGAAAACAGAAGCAAGGGAAAAGCAAGAGGCTCAGCACTGATCTAAGCTGCAGACAAACTGATGTACAGGGCTATGCCTTGTCCACATTTATCACATTAATTGGTAGATCATAAACATGTCTCTGCACAGTCTTGGATTAATTCCCACAGGAGATGACCTACAGGATAAATTGGATTAAGTAAAATCAGATTAGTACAGTTGTAGGTTACTGAATGTTTCTTTCAGCCTGTCCTGCAGATGCTGTGTATACACTTCAGGTCCTTCACAGAGGTAAAGCAGCCAATGGGGTGATGCTGATGCTAGATGCTAGAGGAGGATCCCATCCCATGCCTGTCTACCTCACATAAAGTTTCATATAGCAATCAGACTGTACCAGCTTAAAATACATCTGAACATGCAAAAGTGTGGCTCTTCTCCCCTGGGTCATGAGGACTTGCAGACTTGCTTCATGGCACATCCAATCAGGGCACATCCAATCAGGGCACATCTGCCTACACTTGGAGGTTGTAAAGGAATTAACAGGCTTTGGGTCCAATGTGAGTTTTGCAAGGCAAGCAAGTGAGGAGAATCTGCAGAAACACCAGAGGGACAAAGGCTGTGGGGCCCGTCCTGGAGGGCAGTAGTCTGTGCGCTGTGTGTCTGAAGAGAAGGTTTGGTTACCCTCCCAGGCTGCCTCTCTCAGTCAGGTGTATGGCATCAGAGCACAATGTCACTGACCTTGTACCATGTCAGCTCACTCAGCTGGTTCACTAGGGAGAAAACAAGGTTTGGGCAGCTCCTCATCACTGCCCAAGCTCTGCTCTGGGGTTGCTCAGGGACACTAATTTTGAAGGAGGTTGTTGCTCTTCTGCTGTGTAATTATACACCACACAGTCCAAGCCTTAATATAGACCTGCATAAACTCCTTTTGGTTCTCTTTACTGAAGAGAGACTCAGCCTTGGATCAAACATGCCTCCCAGCAGTGAAACCCATATGTTGATCATGGGGAGGGTGCTGCTGTCGAGGGGCACTTGCAGGTCAGGTGCTTGGTGTGTATGTTGCCTTCAGTTTCTGCATCCCCAGGTCCCTTTTCCCACAGCAGTTAAATGTGTTTGTTGAGGAGAGGTGGCAGCATTTTGATGATGCTGTAGAGGCAGTGTAGGAGGAGGGAGGCTGCTGGCTTCTGTGCTGGTTGTGTTTTAGAAGCAGTTGATGGTTGCCGGCACATCGATTTCAGCAAAGAGCGTGTTGCCATCCTCGCTGTCAGAACTCTCCAGTGCACGATGAAAGCCTTGCTGAAAAATCATCCTTCTGCTGGTGAAACCCAGGCCCCGGACTGTGAGGATGGCCATGATGTGCTCCTTCCTGCAAAAAGCAAGCAATACCAAAGCTAGCTCAGATGTCAGTGACCAACATGTCATGGCACGGTGCCAGGAAGGTGTGCCCTTGCCGTGTCGGAGAACTGAGTGTGGTGTGAGCAGGACGACCAAGATGGGGTCTGCATCCTCCAGAGGTACCAGTGAGCATTGGCTTAGGGGCTCATGCTTAAGGGAATTCCTTCCGTCTCCTCCCACACATGACGTCTTTTCCAAGTTTTCCCAAGAGGCTGCAGACCTTTTATTTAATAATTATTTTGAGTTAAATAATGGAAGTGCAAATATTTAGGAAGCTGGCAGGCGTTAATTAGATGACAGCTAGGAAAGTGAACTTGGAAACATACCCTGTTCTAGTAATCTCAGTATATACCTCTCTGAGAGCTCAGGGGAAGAATTAACAAAGGCACGAGCAGGAAGCCATGCAGGACTAGCTGGTTCTGCCTAGTTTTCCAAAGTTAATTGTTCAAAATATTACTCAATAATGGAATGCCAGGAAATAGGTCAACCAAGAGGACAAGCCTTAAAACTTGGCTTGAGTCTAAGGCTAATAATGAAAAAGTACCACAGATCTCAGCCTTGTAAATGGTTTTTCTGCATGGAACATTGTTTTTAAATAGATAATTCTGATCAGCTCTCATTTACGTTCCTATCCTTCCCAGAATGTGTACTGCCTCCTTTTCAGCATACTGGCATTAAGGCATTTCTTTGTGGAACAGATGAATTCACCAAGGAAATTACTTAGGAACAGATGTCCTTTTTCAAATCCATGTCCTGGATTTTCCAACCCAGGTAAGATCAAGATGTGCCTTTTTTTTTTTTTTTGGTCTCCCCCTCCCTCATATTTGAGGATCCAGTTCAGTGTTTTGAGCAATTTCTTAAACTTATAGTTTAAATTGATTGCACAGATGTTATCCAGCAGGAACAGCATAACCCAGTGCAAGCACTTTGGGTCTTCAGAAATGATTGTTGAAATGGATTTTCTTGCAAGCTGTACTACTAGTGATTCTTGTCAACTGTTGTTGGAAAAACTGTAGAAGAAGAGATAGATAGCTTCTGATATGCAGTTGCCCATCCATGGACAGAGCTAGTAAATTAATTTGTTTACTTTACCAGTAGTATTAAATTTTGCAGATGCTGCTTTGGAACAGTACAATGGAAAGTACAAAAGAAAGAATCTACAATCTGTTCCAAGACTTAGTGGTTGTATTGAGCCCCTTTCAGAAACTGCAGATGAACTGTGTCAATGTCTGTGGCAACTGGAGGCCTGGTCCTGGGAACAGGAGACAAACCAGTTGCTCCAGAGCTGGAACCAGCAAACTGGTGAGCTGTGCAAATGCTGCCAAAATCAACCTGAAGCTTTCAAGTGCAACAAAATTGATTTGGAGCGATACAATGAAAAGGCATTTGAGGTTACTTATGTGCATCATGAGATCCATCAGACAGGGGAAAAGGGAAGTATGCAGCCACCAGAAAGAAAAATAACCTGGGATTCCTCTTGATTGCTGGCAGCTTGGCATCTGTGGAGGAAGGTGCTGAAGAGCTTGGCTGAAGCATGGGGTGAGAAGGTGCTGTTGGGATGGAGCCCAGCTCTCAGCTGTTGTGCATTACTGTAGCTTCTGCCATTTCTCCTACCTGATGTCTGGGTAATCCTCAGTCAGTTCCTTGACGTACTCCTTGATCCTGTCTTTTCTCTTCTCCCCAATGATATTGGCGATATGACTTATAGCAGGAAGGAGCCAGCTGGAGTCAGAGCCCTGTGAGCAAGAAGTTGCAGCAGGACATTTGTGGGAATGCTTTTGTCACCACTGAGAGGAACCTGCCTGGCCAGGGAACAACCCCAGTGGGATTTAGCACCTGTACCTGACATTCTGCAAAATCCAATGAGTTGAACTTTGGCTTTCCTGAAAATTTCAGCCCAATATTATCTAGCCACAAAACACATAAACTACTCTATTCCATTCTGTTCTACCCTACCCTACCTTATCCCATCCCATCCCATCCCAATTCCTTCTCCCCATCATGTTCCATATGCAAGCTGTGATGGGATGGATTCTCACTGGTATCACCTTCATAAGCTGCACCCAAGGCAGGGATCCTTCAGAGGTAAGTGGCATCCCAAGGCCCAACAAAATATGAACAATGTGTCACAGGATGCCTATGGTCCTATAGCATGAGAACCACTCTGAGAAGTTTAGAGATCTGTGAGCTATGCTCAGAGTAACCTCTGGGATAGAAATCCACACTGTTAACCTGCACTGAGCACCTTGTTTCTTCTGTTTAAAGCACTTTAACAGGCTTCCCTTCCCTGAAAGCCTCCAATATTGGTTGCCAGGGGTCAAGTAAGGATATTGCACCTATGGGAATGGGGCAGCCAGGGGATGCCAGGACAGAGCTGACGTACATGATCAATGAGAGCATTATTAAGGATTTTGGCTTCCAGGTTTATCTTTTCTTTCGCTTGCTGCCGTTTCTCTCCATTCATTTTCTTCTTGGGTTTGATGATCTGCGCAATATACTCCCTTACCACATACTTATGAACATGGCATAGAAGTTCCTGTTTTAAGAAATAACAAATATAATGTATTTTTTTATGGTTCCTTCGCAAGGTCATGGCAATAAGTGAGAGAGGGTAGGGGAATCCTCAGGTCTTTAACTGCAGCTGAGGGTGTACAGGAAATGCTCACAGCCCCATGCTTGACACAGGGCTGAGGAAGTACCAATGGGAATGCCACAGAAATACTCTTTACACTAAAATAGCCATGACTATATGTTGGCAGTTTGGCTCCTCAGTATCAACAGGAGATACTTAAGATTGTTTTAGAAGTAGGTTTTGATGGTGCTTGCAGATTTTAAATATAAAGCTGTTGCTATGTACCCTTTTTATTTCACAACTGCATAGATGTGAAGGGAGCATATAAAGGCATATGAGTTTGTGATTCATGCAGTTACAGTGTTCAGTGCTGATGCTCACCATGCATTTTCTTCCTCTTTAAAGAAATCAGTTCCCATATTTAACCCACAAAAAGGAAAGATGTTGCATGTTCTAACATGGATGCTGGCTGACAGCTGAAAGCCCCTATTCCAGCAGTGCCCATGGCTCTAAACAGCCCCTGCTGCTGAAAGAAGGCTGCAGGTTGGGCCACAACCTGCAAGAGAAAGCAGTGTCCCACAGAATCACTGTGCCTGGTGTGGGAGCAGTCACATACCTGTCCCAGGGGCTGCCTTGTGTGCTGCAGATGCTCTGAGAACTGCGAGACTGCTACTGCCAGTGAATTTGGCTTCTCTCTTGCCAAAATCCAGTCCTTGGTTAGGATTTTCTTGAGGAGTGGCTGCAAAAAGACCAACTCAATAGTATCACTGGGAATATTCAGACCAGTTGGATCCCTACCTAGACACGAGCCATTGGGAAATGCTTTGGGTTGTAATCTGGACACTCATCCTATGTTCTTATTTCAGGCTCAAGGATTGCTTCAAGCAATCCAAAGCCCAAATGCTTTCTTGATGCCAATTATCTCCTTGCTCATTAACATTTCCATTAACTTAACAATCTGCCTGGCTTTTATGAGGAGAGAGCCACAGCTGTGTTTCCACAAGGAAGGACAGCAGGCCCTTGCTCAATGGACTGTAGGGGCTGTCTGTATTCCCTGTATCTCTGCAAGGTCCCACTGAGATTTTCCTTCTGCTTGCTGCTCTGATGTGGCAGCAGGAGGATGGTAGCTCTGATGGTAGCTGAGAGCATCCTGCACTTAATGCACTGTGGTCAGTGATGCTGTGTGTATCACCTGTCCTGGGTACAAGGTGCACTGACCAAATATGCCCAGAAGGCTTTTTCCCTTGCCCTGGAATTAATTTGACTCCATGCTGAAACAGAGAAATATCTGCTAGAGGATTCTGGTGGTACCCAAAAGAGATCCTGTATGGGACAAGTTTAAAAAATCCCTTCTCTAGCACATCCCCATTGTCATTTCTCCACTTAGCACTCAGGATCTCTGTCTTAAGTCTGTTGCCTGTGCTGCTGGTCATCACATTCCCAATTATTTCCACCCCGCTGTGCTCTCAGCCTGCTGAAGAACTATTTAGAAACACTGTGCCTCAGCAGCTCTCAGTTCTCACGGCATGTCAGCTTTCTTGCTCAATGCCTTGGCTTGGCTCCTTCCTTGCCTGCCCCTAAGGCTCTGAAACAAATGCTGTAGTCACTGGAAAGTCCCCTTGGTCAAGAAGGCTTGGCTTTGGTCAGAGGCTTCTTGTTGCATGTCTGCCTTGGTTTCTGAAAGTTTATGCTTGTTAATTTAGAAAGTGATTTAGGATGAGTGAAAAGCAATGGCACTAAAGGCTTAATTTTCCCCATCTCTCCCATTATTCCAGGCAGAGCCAGTGGCTCCCAGCCAGCTGAGAAAGCCGATCTACAGCACCTAGGAAGCACAATCTACATCACAGCATTGTGCCTTTTGGGCCTCATGAGTTTACCCAGAGAAGCAGACACCGGAGCTCTATCATCTTCATGGTGAAAGAATCGATCTCTCTTCACCATGGGAACAGACTGGAAAAATCACTTTAACCAGGAAATAGCCTTTTCTGTCTCAAGAGACTATGATATATCTTTTAGGCAGAGGCTGATAACAAACCATGATAGTAGATCTCTGAATAAATGAGAGTAAAACAAAATTCTGACAAACTGAGACTTTTTGTTAGGAAAAAAAAGTCCTGTCGGTGCTGCCCTGCTGAATTCCCAGTACTTCACAATGGGTAAAGTTCCTCTCACTGCTTTGACCAAGAAGCTGGAAATCACTGAATACCCTTTTATTTTAGTTGCTGTACCATTGTCATAGTGAAAAACTGCACAGATTCTGGAAGTGTCCCTCTGAGTAATGGAAGATCTGTATATTGGGCATGATGTGTTTTGCAGGGACCACAGAGTTATTTGCAGCACAATTGGGTCTAGCTGATGTGTCAAGTAGAGGGCAATGGTCCTCAGCTTCTGCCCATAAAACTTATGTTTAGGGAATTGTGTGGCTGAGACTTACCTGTGTTTTTGTTCTTAATTTATTTAAAAACACATTTCTGAAGTTCTTTGTCAGAGCTGCCAAAATCTTTTGCAGTTCTTCAGTGTTGACTTTAAACACTTTTTCTAAGCCTGACCTAAAGGGAGAGGAACACCAGGGGGTTAGTGTTTAGGTATAAACCAAGCATTTCAGCCAGATCAATATCTTGGGCATTTTTTCAACTTCTGTAACTCCAGTACTTCCTTTTGGAAACTCTTAAGGGGTCAAAATATTGCATTGTTCTGCACAATCCAATTTAATCATGAATGAGTAAGTCTACATTAAAAAACACCTATTTCCTCATCAGGTGTAACAGTTCAAACATACAGAACAATTACTCAAGCATGTTACTTTTTCACTTGAGCCACACTTAAGTGAAATGTTCTCCAGATACTTGAGAGAGCACCGAGGTGTTACGGTGGGAAAAGCTGTCAGCCTTCCTATTAGGGCCACACTGACTGCCTTCATGCAGTGAACTGGGACAGTAAACTACAGAGGTGGAAATCTGTGGAGGTTTTGAGAGAAAGTGTGTAATTTTGGCAGGCTATGTGATGTGATATAAGTTCTGAGAGGTTAATGAAATATCTGTAGGCTTTGGGGGCATTGTAAGCTCCTTGCCTTTGTTCTATGTAAATGTTTTGGTGCACTTCATAGAATCATGGAATCATAGAATGGTTTGGGTTGGAAGGGACCTTTAAGATCACCTGTGTCCAACCCTCCTTCTAGGCCAGGTTGCTCAAAGCCCCATCCAGCTTGGCCTTGAATGCTTCCAGGGAAGAGGCATTCCCAGCCTCACTGGGCAATCTGTTCCAGTGTCTCACCACTCTCACAGTAAAGAATTTCTTTTTAATGTCTAGTCTAAATCTGCTCTCTTTCAGTTTAAAGCCATTTGCCCTTGTCCTCTCATTACATGCCCTTATAAAAAGTCCCTCCCCAGCTTTCCTGTAGGCTCCTTCAGGTACTGGAAGGCTGCTGTAAGGTCTCCCTGGAGCCTTCTTTTCTCTAGGCTGAAGAGCACGAACTCTCTCAGCCTGCTCCCAAAGGGGAGGTGCTGCTGCCTCCTGATCATCTTCATGGCCCACTTCTGGACCTGCTGCAACAGTTTCATGTCCTTCTTGTGTTGGGGGCCCCAGAACTGGATGCAGTACTCCAGGTGGGGTCTCACGAGAGCAGAGGGGCAGAATCACCTTATTCAGGCTGCTGGTCACACTTCTCTTGATACAACCCAGGATATGGTTGCCCTTGTGGGCCATAGGAACCAAGGTGGCACCACCAAAATACTTGTGATCTGTACACACCCTTTACGTGCCACGTTCACTGTCTCAGAGCATGCCAGGTTGTTTCAATGTCTGAGACTGCCCAGACAGGGATTTCACAGAAAAACAACCAAAATGAGAGGAATAGGACCCCCACCACTGGGCACCCAGCAGATGGGCTGTTTGGGACCCCAGGTTCTGATGCTGGGGCAGACGCAGCCCAGCAACTGCCAGAACCCGTCAACCCCGTGCTCCTCGTTGGCTTCTCCTCTTCCTGCCAGGAGGGGGAACTGGAGGGAACGGGGAGAGGCAGCGGAGAGCATCGCTGGGGACGCCGTGCCACCTAGAGCCCGCCCGGCGATAGTGTCGGTTTGTTTGCAGGTTGTGCTTTCGCAGGATTTCCTCCAGCCTAGCGCCGAACTTAGCAGGCAGGCTGGGTTTGTGTTACTAATTATATATACAATAAAATATATACTTATAAAAAAGCAATCTTCCTCTAGGCTAGAATGGCAGGCTGAAAATGTGTCTAACAGGCAAGCGCCAAATTCATTCCCGCTTCTCTCTCCACCCTTCTGCCCAAGTGAGCTGACTTTGCATCTGTATCTCTTAGAGAACATCCCCCCCGTGAGGTGGACAGCGGACGAGAGGCAGAGTTCCCAGCTCCCGTGCTCAGGCTGGAGGAGGGCATCCCAGCACAGCTTCCCCAAATCCAGTGCATCCCTGCATCTCCAGCCTGTCCTGCGGTACCCCTTGGGCATCCTTTTTGGCTGACCCCATCCTGACAGCGCTTGGTTCTTCCTCTCCATCCCTCGCCTCCCTTCCCCAATCCTACATGGAGAGGGGATGAGGACTTACAAGAGGTCATGGAAGCTGTTGATGTAGGCAGCAAAGTAGGGTGCAAACATGGGGCTGTCATGGACTGCATTCCACTCCAGGAACTCCTCCCCGAACCTGCAGGAGAAACGCAGGGGATGCTGTCAGCAATGGGAACAGAGCGAGCGGCAGAGCACTGCTCACACTGCGTGTGTGGGAAGTCAGAAGACACTGGTTGCTGGCCCAACCTCTCTGCTTATATAGATTTTTTTTTTTTCTTCAGTTGTCTTAACATTCATGTGCATTAGAGGGGAATATATAGCAGGTAATTACTGGTTTGGGGTATGCTTGCCTGAATGTGTAAGCAGCACAGATTTGGAGAAATTCCAAGGATCTCTGCACATGAGAGTTCCTGGGTGAAATCCCTGACTTTTTCTCGCTCTGGGAGAGGCTGGGATATGCAAACTTGTCAAGCTGCACAGCAATACCTTTGGCTTTTGGATCAGTGCAGGTTATGCCTTCCTAAGCACATTTTACAACAGAAGCTGACGCTGAACAAGGTAACACATCAGTGTTAGGAACCCAGCTCCTTGGCTCTGACACCCAGGACCCCACAGTGCAGGAGGCTGCAGGCTGGGGCAGGTTTTGCATGGGCTTGCCCAGGCTTCATTCCTTGGCAGCCCAAACCAAGCTGCTTGGAGCAGCCTCAACACTCGCTCATTGTGACTGTCTAAGAAAAGGCTTAAGTTTCAGTGAGCCTTTCATCTGGGAGCCTTTGCTGTCCTGGCTTGCACTTTACATCAATAAGTATAACATTTCTTCTATAAAACCAGGCAGACTCAAAGCCAAATAGCTGGTTTGAACTGCTCTGCTCACTCAAGATATCAGGAACAAGTTGGGACATGAGAGTTTGAAAGAGAAAGCGTTGCCTATAGCATATTCTGAACACCAGCCATGCCCCAAGTTCACGATCTAAGCAGGCAGTGCTTGCTCTCCCCCACATGCACTTCAGCAAAGCGTCTATTAGCAAACTACCCACTCAGCGCCTGCCAGAGGTGTGAAACTCTAAAGGTTAATGCAAAATTATTTTTAGTTTCGCTCAGAGTTGATTCATGCTGAACATCCTTTCTTTCCCACTATGCCATGGCCTCTTCAAAATGCAGCCCTCCCAGCATGGAGGGGCATGCAGAGTGGTGCTGAGGGGTTGGGGTGATTCATCTGCCATCTCAAGGTCTGGGGACATAACTCAGGGACTACACCCAAGAAGAAAACCATTTCAACCATAGCTCACTCAAAATTTTGAACCTGAGATAATTTGCCCAAGTCCCATCAGCTGTGTTTCAATGCCCATAGCCATGGGATGCAGGAAAATCACAGAATCACAGAATGGATGAGGTTGGCAGGGACCTCTGTGTTCATCTGGTCCAACATCTGCTCAAGCAGGACCACTCAGAGCAGGGTGTCCAGGACCACATCCAGACTTTTTGGTGGTCTCTGAGAAGGAGAGCCCAAAGCTTCCCTGGGCAACCTATGCCTTCGTTTAGTCAAAAACCATCTTGGCAGGAGCTCCCCTGTATAAGGGACAATTAGGGGATATTTCGGGCAACAGCCTTTGGGGTTGGGATTCTTTAGATGCTGCTTGCTGGTGGCTGCTGCTGCCAATGACCTGTGTCCAATGCAGCAAAGATCCTGGGCAGATGGGACTACTGTCCTTTTCCAGGCTCCTTCCTGGAGCATCAGCCTCAAATCTTGGGACTTACAAAAGTCCCATCTAGGTCTATTTATGACACCCTCCAAGTTGTTTGCAGCTTGCTCATTGTCAGGCTCCCAAGTGCAGACCTACACCTGCTCCAAGCCAGAATTCAGCCTAGTGCATGAACTTTTTCCCTTGGTTTTTACCAACTAATTTGAAAGGAATATACTGCCCAGAGCTAGTATGACCTTGGTATGAATTCACGCAGCTCAGCCATGCACAGCTCAAGAGTTTTTGTTTTCAGCTTTTTACTGATGGCTTCAGATAATTTCATGTGCTCTCCGATGATCTAGAAAACAGCAAGGAAAAGCTCCAGTGAATGGGACAGACATAACACAATGCTTGGGGAGCTAAGCCATTCCATCTCTCTGCTTCAGCCCTTCCTGATTCCCACTGCATTGGCTTCGCCTGTCTCAACAGAGTTTGGCTGCATCCCACCCATCTGCTGGCCCAGCTCAGATCTGCCTTCCTGGTGGTCAACCAACATGCGATAGAAATGAGTCACGGTAGCAGCCAACTCTTTGATTTTCTTTCTTTCCTTCTCTCCCTATTTCTCTCTCTCTTTTTAATTATTATTATTTAATTGAAATGACTAAACCCTATTTAAAATGAGGGAAATGAATCCAAACCCCTCCTGGATTTATTACCCTATGGGCCCTAGAGCTAGCAGGAGCCTTTGTTTTTTTTTTCGTGCTGTTTAAATTGAAGTGGCTGTCCCTGCCTACAAACCTGTGTGGCAGCCGCAGCCCTGGGACAAAGTTGCTCTTTCAGTAAAGGGGTTTTTCTAACAGCCCTTTTCTTTCTGCCTTTCTTTTTCCCCTCTTTCTCTTTCCTAATCAAAGACATTTAAAGACTTTAAAATCAGTTGCCTATTATGTTGCTGACACAATTGACAGCAGGTTTAATTTGCAGCTAGAAGGCAAGCGGCAGAGCTAAAAGTTGTAATAAATGGCATTTTCTGCTCTAATGTATTCTGTGAGCGCGTGACTCACATCCATTATGGCAGCACCAGGAGGCACTGCCATGCACCCCATGCTGTGCTCATGCTCATTAAGTACCGTCTGAATGTCAAAGGAAAGCGAGGACTGGTACAGGTTATCCTTCACTTCTGGGGGAACTTCCTTCTCCCACCGTTCCGTCACTTCCAGCGTCAGGATGTTTCCAAAATAGCTCTTGATTTTACCCTAAATGGTAAATGTGGGAAGGAAGAATGCATATCAGCAGATAAAGCCAAGTATGAGTGAAGCAGCTGGTGGGTATAAGGGGATAAGCAGGGCTGGAGCTTGTCCTACCAGGGCAGTGGTGATGGAGGGGACCAACATGGCACAACTCTCAAGCACTGCACTCCCCAGGGCACCTCCCTCCCTCCCTCTGGCTCCCCTCAGCGGCTGCTTTGCAGGAGGCAAATGAGGGCTCCCAGCACAGAGCTGCCATACAATGTTTTACTTATCAGCATACTACTACACTTGAGCTATGCAAAAAGATAGGCAAGTCTTGGTCCAGAACCTTTCAGTCTTACACAGGATCTCAGGAGAAACCTGGAGATGCCTGTGACACTGTACTCCCAAACTGAGATGCAGTGACTCCCCTGGCAGGAAGATTTATACTATTCCTTTGCAGGAAAGGTATTTAAACCTCCAGATCATTTATTTAACTTGCAGTGTTTGCTTGGAAAAAATCCCAACTGCCTGCCCTAGTGGTAGCTCAGCCAGCCAGCTGCTTTACCAGAGTGGTAGCTCAGTGCAAAGTCCTCTAGCACATGTTAGGCACAAGGTCAGTCTGAAGGATCAGACCAGCTCTTTCTGGCTCACAGCACTTGCGTAAGTGCTCAGTCCTGGCTGATAAATCAGCCTTGTTGCTGGTAAAACAGATGGGTCCTTACTGAAATAACAGAGCAAAACTGATTTTATTCATTTGGTACCTTGAGCTCACCTTGAGAAAATTCTGAAATGAAACCTATTTCAGAAATGGTTTTTAAGAAAAGAAAATGTCTGAGTCCTCCAAGGAATAGTACAAGAGTATCAGCCAAGGATGGCAGAAGGATATCTGCCATGGGGGTTTCCTACAAGGAGTGAAGCACAGAGAAGTCCTCTGCTGGGGATATGCCCAAAGTTGCATATGGCTCAGCATGGTTCAGCTGTGCTGGAGGAGCTCACACGCTCTAAAGCCAGCAGCTAACATTTCTTTATGTTTATCTTTGCAGTGCCTTTCCTGCAAAGCAGCACAGCCGTGTGCCCCTGCCATACTCTGTGGGTCTGGTACCATCATGGTGGGTCTACACCTGCCACTACCCAGGTCCAGGCCTGGATTTATGTGGCCTGCTTTGGCCCCAGGATTACTGAGGACACTTTTGCTGTTAACTAAAGGGTTGTTCTCAAGTGGTCCTGAGAGGATTCAACACCATGGTACATCATAAAGGGGAGTTGTAAGAAGGAAGGGGACAGACTCTTTAGCGAGGTCTGTTGTGATAGGACAAGGGGAAATTATTTCAAACTAAAAGAGAGGAGATTTAGACTGGATATAAGGAAGACATTTTCTACAATAAGAGTGGTGAAACTCTGGAATAGGTTGCTCAGAGAGGTGATAGAGGCCCTGTCTCTGGAGACAGCCAAGCTCAGGCCTGACAAGGCTCTGAGCACCTGATGGAGCTATAGTTGTCCCTGTTCACTGCAGGAGGGTTGGACTGGATGGCCTTTAAGGGTCCCTTGCAACTCAAACGATTCTATGATTCTATGATTCTATAATTATACAGCAATGAGAAACCTCTGCCTGGGAGGCCAGAGTCCCAGTTCCCTCCCAAGAGACACATGGATACAAGGAAGAGGACATTACCTTTACAGAAGTGATGTAATCATCATTCAGTCTATCCCAGTCCGCTGTTGTTAGCAGCAGGGACAGATTTTTTGTCTGAACTTCTGGTTTGAGATCAGCGTGTCCAAGAAAGAGTTCACTGGAAAGATTCAAAGGAACAAATTATTGCTTTGCTTTGAAGCATGAGTAAACCAATGGAATATTCATGTGGCATGAGCTGCGTAATTATTAAGCTGTGAGAAATATACTTAAAGCTTAAATTGTGATGCTTGTTTTCAAGCTTTAACGAGAAAATCTTTCCTTGCTATTCAAAATCCTAATTATTCAAAATCAAAATGATCTAAGGTTGCAGCCCACCTTAGAAATCATGAGACTTCTGAGTTGTTTGGACATGAAAAGTGCTATGAGAATTTACATTCTTAAATAAACAACATGAAGCTGATTCATTTGCTTATGGTCCTTTATGGCTTATGAAGCTGATTCTATGAAATGCCTTTCAGGGCAGTTCCTACAGCAGTGTGCTGAGTGCTGATGTCCCTAGCTGGTGCCACATCATGGTAAACATCAGCCAGTTCTTTATCCCATAGGAAAGGGAGATGGCAGAGCAGGGCTGGCTGTGAGGAACAGCCTTTGGGAAGCCCACACGTGTCTGCAACACGGGCAGTCCCAGCACTGCGTGTCCTCTGCACACGGTGGCAGTGGGTGGAGATTGAGCTACAGCAGATGAGTGCAAAGTGAGACAGGTGACAAGTGTCTCCTCTGCTCACTTCCCTCTGCAGTGCTGGGGAGGCAGGGCATCTGGGGCAGGGGAAGGGAGGCAGTGCCTGCCTTCCACTCTGCATGGCAAGAAACCTGTTATTAGCCTGTGCAGCTGAGCGTGCTGCCCCTGTGACCTGCCAGCAGACCACACTGCACCTTTCACTGTGATGATTGTGGAGAAGAAGAGGAAAAATTCATTAACTTGGTTAATGCAGGGCATAAGTTGCAAGTAATCACCTGTTAGCAAGGAAGAAAGATGCAAAGGCATTATCCTGTATGCTGCCTGTTCACTTGCTTGACCACAGAAAAGGGGTTCCTCTAGCCAAACCACTGAGCACACAGCTGGGTTTGGATCCAAGGCAAATGAGGACTGTACTGTGCAAGGTCAAACCACTGCAGAGTGACTGCTCAGCAGAAAAATCTCAGCCTGCTGATAGCAAACTGGAGTCAATATTCCTGTGGTCATGGTTCAGGTTTCCCAGAGAGGGACTTCAGTACACTGGGGCACTGGCACTTTTTAACTCCCAGAGCACTGCATGATATTATGAAGTGGAATACTGATGAAAACCATAAACCATGACACTGGCCCAGCTGCTGCAAGAACCTGCTGCTTCTTCCCAAGGACACAATGGAAATAAGCAATAACTTTCTGCTATGACCGAGAGGGTTGGCTCAAATGTGCACTGAATAAGCATATTCCCTTTTCTTTCTTTTTTCATTTGTTTGAGCTGTAGCATTAATAATGAACTTGGGCCAGGTAATTCCTCCTAATTTGGGATGGGTCCAAAAGAGAATGAAGTTCTTTTAGAATGAGAAAGTGAAATGGAAACCATCCAACACAGCAAAGTGATTGCAAGCAGTGCTCTAAACAGCTGCAAGCTCTCAATATGTTTTTCACATCAAGTTAGAGAAATATGGTGAGGACACTGTACTGGGATGCAGAACTTGGCTGCTGACACTCACTTCTTCCCCCAACTCCTGCAAGCATTATTCCCACAGCATTCTTGTCCAAAGAGTTAGTCATCCAACGCCATGCTGCTGAAAGGGTTACACACACGTCTTCAGGCTCACCTCACCATAAACAGGATTTTAGGAAAGGTTTACAAAAGAAGTCTGTTGACCACCTGTGGTGCAAATGTTCCCAAGCCAAAAGTTACTGTAGAGCAGGAGTGCTCTAAGCAGGCTATTGCTGCTTGCCCTGCTCTGCCTCACATTTCATTTCAGCCACTGTTAGGCACAGTGCTGGTATTCCTACCTTCATTAATTTTTCACTAGTCTAGAATGAGCCAATTGGTTTGTGTTTGTTCCACCCTAGGCATTTATTTAGGACCATTCCTGGAGACCATCTAGAAGTATATATAGTGGTAGACATGATTTTGTTCTGACATAGTTGCTCTTGAGTTCTTTTTCTAACAAACTCATCTCCTGTGGATGCTGCCTCACTCCTCCTTCCCACCACGCTGTGTATTCCTGCTGGATTTTAGTCTTTGAGGCTGAGGTGATGGGCTGTGGTCTAAGCTGGTGAACAACTGAAGACACACAGTGCCATGACCTCCTATGGGTACCTATCTTAGATTTCTCCTTTGGCTTCAAAAGAAGGCAACGCTGAAAAGCACAGCTACTGTGAAGAATTCCTGCCTTTACTCCTCAAACCCAGTCTACCCTAAGGATGTTGTTTGATATGTCCATGCAGCTCCCAGCATATTTTGGGCACTGCTGAATTAAGGGAAGCTTTTAGAGGTCCTAAAATCATGGATTTCTCATCCAATCAACTGAGACCCCTGAGCCACAGCCTTGGAGACATTCAAGGTCAGGCTGGACCTGACTGAGCTGTAGGTGTCCCAGTTCATTGCAGGGGAGTTGAACTAGATGACTTTAAGGGTCTCTTCCAACTCAAATGATTCTATGGTTCTCTGTTTTAATGTGTTTAACTTCTTGTGGTGGTATCTAGCCAACTCCTCAAGCTGGCAATGACCCCTGAGTGTATAATAAGGATTATTTCCAAATGCACGACGGTTTTAATTAAACAGGAAGAAGACAGAGTTCCACCACAGGTTCTTTCCTGTGCCTGGAAAAGTCACTTAGCAGCTGCTGGACCTGGCAAAACATTTCCAGAAAGTGAGGAGGTTTTATCAGAGCTGCAAGGCAGCTCTTGAAGAGCGAGCTTCCTGATGTGTGAGAACAGTAGTTTGGAGAGGGAGGAGGAACCGAGGAAACAGATTTGTGAGAAATAGTGAGTATTTTATCCTCAAACCTTTGTGCCCACCTATTAGTAGACTAGTTATCTGTCTCTACTAAATAAGCAATTATGTCTCTGCTTGCTTAGGGAACCAAAAATAACTGTGTGCTTCGAAGCTTCCTGGCAGCTTGTCACACTGAAGGAAGCTGAGATGTGTGGTAAAGGCAGCAGCTTACCTGTGGTATGTGTTGGCCACCCAGTCAAGCAAGGAGTAGAGCTCATTGAACTCCAGTGGTCTCTGGGAGAGATCTTGCAAGTGTGAGGCGATGGCATTGTGAAAAGCCTCCACGTACACTTCACACACCCGGTACTCCTCTGGGTAGCACTTTTTTACTGATGACTTGATTTTCAGTAAGTCTTCGAGCAGGTATTTCTGGAGAAAACTTAAGTGGAGATCAAGCCAGGCTTTCTCTTCTTCCTTTGATGCCATGGGTATGCTCAGAACTCTCTTTCTAGTGCCCTCATTAACAGCTTCCCTCCACTCCTCCCTCCACTTTCTGGGTGCTCCAAGCAAGTCTGCCCCAAGATCAGCAGCATTGCCTGTATTAGGATGAGCTGCCTCTTCACGGGCAATTAATGTCACCACAGAGGTAAGTGTGGACTCCTCCACTGTGTGGTGCTCCAGTGTTCCCACCACAATGGACTGGATCATGCTCGTGATAGAGCTGTAAAGTAAATTCACATCCTTGGTTTTCCTGAAAAATTCCTGGGGGTTATCCTTGTATTTGTCTGCGTCCCGTTCTGCTATCGTCTCATCTTCCATGTACTTGATGCTTGCAAATGCTTCCAGAAGTTGCTTTTTCTGAATAAGTTCATTGATTTCCATTACTGAATAAAGAAGAGGAGAAAGAGGTTGGGACAAAGCAGGAAGCAGGTGCTAGGTGATGGACAGGCCAGTAGAAATACAAGATATCCCACAGGAAGATGTGTAGGACTGCTCTGAGCAGCCACTTACTGCAAAGTCAAAACCATATCACTAAACTGCTGGTTTCAGACACAGGAAATACAAAAAAACCTGATCATAGCCCTGCAGGTGAACCTCCAGCAGTGGCTAACAAGACTGCGCTGGGATCTCATGCTGCATAAGACTGCCTCTGGCTCTGCTAATTTGAAGCCAAAGTGGGACTGGCAGCAGGAACAGCTCTCAATATACACTCCCAGCAGGATTCAAGTTAGCAGAGATGCTCTTCTTTCCCACAGTATCAAGACTCTGGCCTGGGGGATGTTCCTGATATTTTGGGAATGTTCCAGTTAAGATGTAATATTGGGCTAAACCAGGGCTCCCTCCTGTCCCGATTTTTTGTGTCTTCCACAGTATATAAGTTTTCCTGACTCACAGAATGGCCAGGGTTGGAAGGGACCTCAAGGATCACGAATCTCCAACCCCCCTGCCACATGCAGGGCCACCAACCTCCCTATTTAATACTAGTCCATGCTGCCCAGGGCCCCATCCAATCTGGCCTTGAACACCTCCAGGGATGGGGAATCCACAACCTCTCTGGGCAGCCTGTTCCAGCACCTCACCACTCTCTTTGTAAAGAACTGAGAGATATCCCTGACTGCCATCATGGCTAAACTGGCTCATGCATTTCTGAGAACTGAGCTTTGGGTGTCCAAACTTTTGGCTTGCCTGGGCTGCATTGAGTTAACAGGAATTGCCTTGTGCCGTATTTAAAATACATAATAAAGTTAGTGTGTATAAGTAACAAAACTTATTTTTTAATTTTTTTTTTTGTTGTTGTTAAAATATAAAAAAACAGCAATAAAAAAATAAAACTAGTGAGATGTTTAAGCTTGTTTTTTGTGAAACTAATGCATAAGGATGGTGTGCCTGCAGATTTTTGATGCAATATTACTCTTCCTGTGCTTCATACTTCACAATAATTGTTCACAAATGTACATTCTGCGATGACACAATTAAGGCATGGCTGTGAAGTGAGGGATATATTTCTCTGGTAAGATAGAAAAGTCCAGTAAAGAGAGATGACCAAATTTTCATTTGAGTTGAATGTCTCATCGCATCTCTATAGATTCCATTTACAGGTAATGTATTTATACTAACTGAAAATGGAATCACAAGTATACAAGAAATGATTACTTCGGGGGAAAATCTTGAGTCTTATTCTCAGACTCCCTTATACAAACAGAAAGCATGGTTGCATATTTTTCACTGTTCACAGGACTGCGGTTGGCCAATGTATCAAAATGCCTGAAATTATTTTTCATAATTTAAGTTTTATTTCAAATTCTGTTATGGCTTCAAACTTAGGATGGATAAGTTGATTTTCACCTGGAAGATGCACGTTTAACTGATTTAAATGAGTGGTCAAATCCACCAGAAATTTGTGAGCCATTTTTAATCTTCACGTTCTGGCACAGATTTTCCTTTTGATTCCATAAAGGACTTGATTTCACTTTGGAAATCATAAAGTCTTTTTAGCATTTTCCTCTAACTTAGCCACCTTCCTTCAGAAAAGCAAATGATGATCCAATAATCAGCATCAATACTTTTAAGGATCTCTTAGAATTGGTGATGATTCAGCCCTTGGGATTTCATGAAATTCACAGCTTTGATGACAATTTGCATCACATTATCCTAAAACTCGAACATAGGATGTTCTGTACTAACATACGGATGAACTTATTTACAATCTGGGTGACAGAGCACTGAAACAGTCTGCCCACAGAAGTTTTGGAGTCTCCTATGGAGATATTCAAGACCTGTCTGGATGTCTACCTGTGCGACCTATTGTAGTGAACCTGCTTTAGCAGAGGGGTTGGACTTGATGAGCTCTTGAGGTCCCTTCCAACCCCTGTAATTCTGTGATTCTGTGATTCCTTGTTAAAGCTTTCACATCTAAATTTTCTTGATGTCTGATGCAGTGATATTTCATCAGACATGAGTTGACGGTGATAGTTATGTCATCTTCTATTTATTTTAAAAGTCTCTCTTTTTTACCAACCAGCACTGGGGCACTATCAGTAGCTATACCAGATATGTTGACAAAGGTTAAAGAAAATCACTTTAATGCTGCTGTCCTGTGCTTAACACAGCAAACAGCCTCTAAAAAATGCCCCTCATCCACTCCAGACATTAAGAAGGGAATGGAAAAACAATAAAGTATGTTTGGTATGTGGAGCTCACACTCCTGGGGGCCTGCAGGTTCCGGTGACCTGGTCATTCACCATAGGTACAGTCAGGTGCCAGGCATTGCCTTTCACCTGCAACATGTGATTTCCTAGCACTGCTGGCCGTGTGGCCTGGGGAGGTGCATGCATTGGGAGGGGCATCCCAAAATGCAGGTGCTTTCTCCTGGAGCTCAGGCCTTGTATGGGTTTTCCACACCTCCTCCCTATAAGTAGGGAAAGCATCAAATACTATTACCGTCAAAGTGTCTGAGGTCTACTGAGTTTTCCACATCATTCTCCAAACTAAGGTTGGTTAAGAACCACAGCCTATTTGCCACCAATGCGAGGGGTTTTTGCTGTGGCCTGTGGAAATCCAAGAGCACTGCTGAGGTGCTGTGAGAAGCTCTTGCCACATCCAGCATCATAACAGGTGCTCTGAGCAGGAGATTTGGCTGTGATGCTGGGCACAGGGTGAATTTTAAAGAGCAGGAGGGAAAAGGTATTATGTAGATGTGAGTGGCTACTGCTTCTGCTGCACACATATATGAAGTGATAGGGAAAAATTAAAGAGCACTCTAAGTAGAGATGAAGGACTGGCCTATAACCCATAATGTATGCCCCATGGTTCTTCTGCACACAGATTTTATAACAAATGCACCAAATAACCTGTGCAAATGTGGAAGTAGCTGTATGAAGACAGAAATATACTAAATAACTAAACTACTGATGCAGCATATAATGCACAGAACCTGGAGGAGAGCCTTTAAGTAGCTACAGCTACTTCTGAGCTCAGAAGGGTGGAACATTGTGCCAATTAACTTACTCTATTCTAGAAAAATTAATATAAAACCTGTGTTTGCACAAGATCTTGCAGTGAGAGACTAAAGGAATACACTCTGTTCTGTTTAGCAAAGTGAGAAAACACCATTTAATCATTATCAAGGATAATTATTCAGGGAGGTGATATTGGGCGCTAAATGGATCTTTAATTCGGGAATACAAGATCAGCCAGCTGGTAACTGGAGGAAGACAATTGAAAGGCAATTAACCATTGTGCAGCTTAATGGTGCACGTGATGGAGTTTCCATCAGTTCCCATATTTATCTCAGGATGGGATGCATTTCTGACAGAGCTGCTTTAGTTCAGGCCAATCATGGTCATGGCACAGACCCGTTGGGCACAGACCCGTTTTTTTTCCTGCAGTTCCTTGTCCTGTGTATTGCAGGACTTGAGAAGGCTTTCTGGTAAGATTTCCTGTAACTCCTCCTGTGACCTTCTGAGAACAGACTGGCAAAACTAATGAGCCTTGGCCCAGATCCAGCTCACCAACCTCACAACATATCCGTGCAAAGCAGAAAAAAACTTTACAGCACAGTGAGGCATGGTACAGCTGGGAAAGAACTTCAGCCCTTCCTTCTGATCCCTCTGACATCTGATGCAGTACACCAAGGATTTCTATCTAATAATTTAGGCTGAGGAAGGATCGAGTCATGTTGACCCACTTCAACCTATCTCCTGGATGCACTGTTGTACCTCGGTGTTGAATAAATGGAGGAGAGCGCTGCACAAACCCAGAACAAAGTCATTGTAGTTCACACCTGGGGCGTTGAACTTTTGCTAAGACAAGTCTAAGACCCATTTATCTAACGCTGACAAAGTACATGAGAGTAACACTTATATCTGAAGTACTCTGGTCAGCAACAGTGGAAACTTATTGGATCTGTGAATGTTGTTGACTCACTGCATTTCTCATGGCCAGCCACATGTGCCTATCACCCATTTTTTTATTATTTTACAACCTTACTTAATGTGGCCATTTATCAAAGCTTCACAGTAACCTACCAAGTGCAGTCTAAAAGATGCATAGCAGAAATTGTCCACAAGAGCAACGCAGGCAACAGAATGAATAGGAATAGCCCACACTGCACTTTCAGATGCTGTCATACAAATACCTCCCAAACTGCGCTCAGCAGATTGGTGACTGATATGGTGGTGTGTGCTGCATCCACTGGTACATGAACAGATAGATGTGTTGATCATAAGAAGGCAATCAATATGATTAAACTATGGTAGTGGAGAGCACGTAGCAGCCTGTCCAGGGACAGCTGGCCTGCCAGGCTGAGCCAGCTAACACCACAGTGAGTTTGTGCAAGGGATGACAGTTGTCTCTACCCCATAATGGGATGCTAGTTTCCTTAGCATCTCTGTTGGGCCAAAGACTTGAAAAGTTAAATTGCTTGAAGGTTGCAAGTATTTCACTACTTACCTGAAAGAGGTTTTCCTTCAGTGGGCTCTGTTTCTGTTTTATCAACAATCTCTTCCAAACCATCAAGGATTTCGATCCTGTTCTCTTCAGAGTTCTTGGGGAATTGAAAAGAAAGTAGTCTTCTCCTCCAGGTGCCAGTGCCTTCCTGTTCTTTCTCGTTCTTTCGTTTTGATTTCCGAATGCTTAGCATTGTTTTAAAACCTCTTTCAAAAAATCCTGTGTTCTCATCATTCAAAGTTGGGCTGCCCAGCTCTGAAGCAACCTCCATCTTTTCCTTCTCCACATCATTTGTTGCAGGCTCTGGTTCTGAAGCTGATCTCCTTAGGTATACCTTTGTATTTGTACTCATCTTGTCTTTCAATGAAGGTCTTTCCAAAAAGGTTGCTGGCAATCACTGAAGCGAATGAAAACACAGCGTGAGATGAGAGGATTCCAAAGAGCTATTAGTGCATTTCCAAAGGTCTAAAAATCTGGCCAACCTTTTTTCTGTGCCTAATCCAAGGACGGAGAATGTTGTTTCAGCCTGACATTACCAAAATGGTTTCTCTAAGCTCCTTGTGCATATGCTACTCTGCTTTTAGTCCTGGAAGGCTCTAACTCCTAAAATCAGGCAAATGGCAGCTAGTTGCCCAGCACCAATGAATTGCAGCATGTCAAGGATGCCAAAGCCTGTTAAACATATCATTTTCATCTGGCAACAAGGCATGTTTTTACCTCCTTTCTTCTAGGTGCATTTCCAGTCACAAGGCTGAATGTCAGCAAGGTATTTGCACTTTCTGATGCAGACATGGCAACTGCAGGTCACACTCTGCTCCTGCCCTGCTCAGTCCCCAGCTGGCTGCTGCTGAATGCCCACAGTGAGTGGTCCCTGCAGCCTTCCCGACCCTCCCTGGCTGTTAGCTCGCCAACCAGCATGACCCAGTAACAGAGATGCTATGCATTGCAGGGGTCTGAGGATGGGCAGTGGCACATTTCCCCACAGCAGGCTCAAGGCAGCTCAGCAATCAGTTTAAATCATTAGAAAGAGGAATTCCTTGAGGTCATCCCAGCCTGACTCAGTTCTGTCCAGCTCATAGGAGACAAAGATTGAAACATGGTTATGGCCAACAGACAGGTTAGGACCCTGCAATTACATAGCCTTCCCTATCTGAGCCTGGTAGTATTCTCACTTCCCTGTGTACAATTATTTCACAGGTTATGAGCTGCAAGTACTGCACCGTCTCATGGGTGGGCTGAGCTCATGGTACAGCAGGACCTGGACCCTGCCCTGCTCTTTCCCAGAGGAAATACTTAACCAGTGGGGTTAGAGGGAGAGGGGAGGCACCGCATTCCCAGGGGTTAGCAGGGAGGGGACCGAAGGCTCAGAACCTGGCTTGCAGGCTGGCTATGGTGGTGTGAAGCAAGGAGACATAGCAGGAGGAACCCACAGGTAACGAGAAGGAGGGATACGTACCCTGGCACTGATTCTGTCTGCTGAGACAACCCAGCTGTGGTCCAGAAGAATGGAGAGCAGCTTCATGCAGGAGACCAGAGAGGTGTGGTGGTGGTGGTGGTGGTGGTGATGGTCAGTCTGCTGGCAGAGCAGGCATTGCGATGAATCACCTGGATCACTCACAGCAGCACTTGCACTGGCTGAGGATCTGTTGCATTCATGGCGCCTCCTGCCATCCTCCTTTGTCTTCAGGAAAAGCACAGATGGAAGTGGAAAAAGGGTCAGGACCCTCCTGCCCAGCACCTCCGGCAGCTTTACCTGAGCCGTGTTTCACTTTCACTGTGACTTGTGCAGTTAAACAAAATGAAGAGGAAGAAGAGAAATGCTGGATGTGCTCCAGATATGGGTTAATATTTTCTCTACAATGGGAGTGGTGAGGCAGGCTCTGTGCTGGAGGTGAGACAAGGTGCTCAGGCAGCTGGGATCAATGGGGCAGCAGAGGGAGAAGCAACCTGGAACCTGGTCCTGCCCTGTGTGGGATGGAGTCCCCAGGGGTGAGGACTCAGATGTAGCCCACAGGTGATACATGGGCATGGCTCCATTTCATTTCACCTTGTGCTGCCCCACTTCTGGAGGTCACAAGTGGCTCAATCTGAATAATAATTGACAGGTGCAGGTGAAGGACCAGGAGAACTTTGCCTGCAGCTATGCATTTGTACATTCAGCGCTTCACTCCTTTCCTTGCTTTGGGAACTAATATCCATGGGGTTGCTAGCCCTGGATTCTTCCATCCCAGCAACTTTTGGGCATGCTGAAGGGAGCTCAAAGCAAAGGATGTAAAGCTATTAGCGTGTCCAGAGGTGGGCTGCAAAGATGGAGAAGTGTCTGGGGAGCAAGGTGTGTGAGGAGCAGCAGTCCCTGGGTTTGCTCAGCCCAGAGCAGAGGAGCTGAGGGGAGGCCTCATGGCGGCTGCAGCTCCTCGCAGGGAGTGGAGGTGCTGAGCTCTGCTCTGACAGCAACAGGGCCTGAGGGAATGGCATGGAGCTGTGTCAGGGGAGGGGCAGCTGGGGGTTAGGGACAGGCTCTGCATTGGAGAGCTGTGAGCATGGAACAGCCTGCGCAGGGCAGTGGGCATGGCCCCAAGCTGCTGGAGTTCAAGGAGCATTGGGACAATGCTCTCAGATATAGGATTTGGATTTGGATGGTCCTATGTGGAGCCAGGGGTTGGGCTCAGTGATCCTTAAGGGTCCATTCCAACTTTGGGATATTTTATAATTCTATGAACATTCAGGTGTCTGGAAGGTTTTAATGATGTTGAACAATGCAGGGCAAGCTGGTGGCAGGATGCCTTTGTTTGGGACAAAACATAGCATCATTTGGGTACAGGGAATCCCCCTCATCGACACAGCCCAGTACTGAGCTTCACATTTAAGCCATATTTCAGGTGGAAGCAGCCTTGTCAGGCTGGGGGAGGTTGCAGTGAGCAGCACTTCTGCTCTGGCAGAGCAACAACGGGGACAAAGGGAGAGCGCTCTTTAATCAACACGTGACAAGGTGTGGAAAGCCCCTTCTTACACAAAGTCCAAATAAATGCATTTCCGTTCAGGTTGGTCATCTCCTCCTCTGCCAGACATTTACAGGATATCTCATTGCACAGGCAGGTTGGCTCTGGCTGGGCTCCTATGCCACCAGCTCACACACAGACCCTGCTTGTGGGATCAGACCCTCCTAGGAGCTACCAGCTCTCCCAAAACAAAGCCAGGTTGCTGATAAACACAGCCTGTAGATCCCAGCACCCTGCAGTTTAGGTTACCCCAGTCCCCACCACATGCTGACTACAAGGCAGCACAAATTCATGAGTCTGCCATAGAAGCTCATGAGAATTTAAAAACTTATTGTGTCCCAGATTTATTTGCCATTTTTCTCCAGTTTTGCTAAAGGGCCCTAACCCTCCAGCTATCTGTGATTATTTTCTTTAAAAAGGAAACCTGAAGGTCTCCTTGTTCCAGCAGGGGACTTCAAAGGGAAAAAAGCACCGATTGTCATGAAGTTCCAAAAAATAGTGAAGCTGGGTAATGGTATAATACATGTAATCCTTCCTGCTCTCTGTTGTCCCTGTAGAGTGAAGCCTTCAAGAAATTCTTCTTGTTTACAAGCCACCATTAGCAGCCCTTCATTATCAGGAGCATGTTTTCCAGGCAGAACAATGGTGGCACTGTTGAGCACTCGAGGACTTTGTACTAAAAAACCTTGTGGCCCTTAGTTCAGTGGGCACCACGTGGACACCACCTTGTCCCCAGTGAGCTGTGGGACATCTCAGCCAGGTCATGAGGCTCTTCTAAATAAACCCACGCTCTCTGTTCAAAGTGAACAAAGAAAGAAAAGCAAGTCCTTGCAGGGAATGCCCTGTTTTTTTCCCCAGAAGTGCCTTAGGCTGTCTCTGGCTCAGTCTTTGCTGATCCACTTAGTGGTATAGCAACCGTCATGCAGCATCGTGGCTGTGCCAGCCTTCACGCTGAGCCGGCACGCTCGGTTCTGTTGTTCAGCCCTGCCATCAACAGGAACACATGTTCCTGAAAAGATCTTGCCATCTGGAGGAAGCACTGGGAAATTACCTTCCACTAAGCAGCACCAGCCTCATTTCCTTCTCGGCTTCCCTGCATGGTCGTGAGAACAGATGAATCACCAGCACAACCTGGGGGCTTACAGCAAGCTGGTAGACAAGGCAAGGCTGGGACCTTCCCACCAGGAAACTCAGCCAGGGAAGAGAAAACAGAAAAGATGGAAAAAGATGGATTGGGAATTAAGAGACAACCTGACAAATCCAGATGACAGTACAAATACTGCAGGACTGTGGTCAGGGATTTTGTGGCAAGCGCCTGCTGCAATCCAGTAGCCAATTCTTGCAAGCTATGGTCAGGGAGAGATTTGCAGCCTGGCTTTAATGGAAAGCCAAGCTCATTCTTAGCTCCTTCACTGCAAGAACTTGACTATTTTTCCTTTTATGTGTCTCTTAATTCATAACTTTAATGAGAACCATTGGTGACAGGTGGATGGTTGGACTGGATGATCTTATAGGTCTTTTCCAACCTTAGTGATTCTGTGATTCTGTGATTCTGTGAACACAGTGGTGTCAAAGTGTTTTCACTCTATCTTACTAAGGTAAGCCCAATTAGTGATAGATTTTAATGGCAAGGAGGTGCTAGTGTCCAGATGCCAGGCTGACAGGGATGCAGACGTGGTAGGGGAGATCTAGGCATGATATATAGATCTGGGAGATGTACAAGCTCTGTGTCCCTAAATACCTGGATATTTCTGGAAATTTGACAGAGGGTGGGAGCCAGCCCGAGGCTGAGGCAGAATGAAGGTTCTTTGTGTGCATTCTGAAGGGTTTTGTACACATAGTCTGAGCTTCCACTTCACAGGCTTTCAAACACTTATGGCTTTCCCCTCACAAAACATGGTGCCATTGCAAAAAGTGACAACCAAGCTGCCCCAGGGGTTTCCATAGCGACCCAGCCTTATTCCCCATCTGATTTGTTCAGTTGAGAGAAGAGTGATTTTTCTTTTTTCCTCCTTACAGCGAATTGACCCTCAAGCCCAATCCATTTCTCCTCAATTCCCATGGCCATGGTGTGTGCTCATGCATCCCTACTCCCCCTGCACTCACAGCTTGGTCGTGCTGCCCCATCCCAGAGCCAGCCCATGCCAAGTCCCTGACAGCTCATCCTTGGGGCCTGGTCCACAGCTGAGGAGATGCTCCTGGAGATATGTGATCTCAAAAATGGTTGCTGCTAACATCAATTTCTTTTCCATCTATATCATTTTGAGTTTCTTCATGTGGCAATGTGTCGAAACATCCAAGAACCCTGCCCAACTGAAGCTGCAGGAATCTCTCATTTGTTGATGTTGAGCTT